TCTCAAGACTTGTTGTTACCATTTTTGGCATACTGAATACATCACGGGGAGCTTGCCAGGCTTTGCCGAGCGAGTGATATACTCTCGGTAGCTTGCCGGGCTCTCTTAGAAGGGCAGAGTAATCGAACCAGGGTTGGCCATGATGGCTGCATGCAAGGCAAACGCCTTACCCTCTGTGCTATTACTTTTTTTTTTTTCAGTTTTGGGGCCATACCCAGCAGTGTTCAGTGCCTACTCCCAGCTCAGTGCTCAGGGGTCACTTCTGGCAGAGGATGATACTATGCGGTGCTGGAGATCAAACCCTGGTAAGTCATTTGCTAGGCAAACGCCTTACCCACTGTACAATCTCGAAGCCCTAATATAAGCCATTTGCCATAGTTGCACATTAGCTAAAGAACATATGACTGGGCCAGAGCAATAGGACAGTGGGTAGGGTGTTTGCCTTGTATGTGGCTGACCCGAGTTCGATCCCCAGCATCCCCAGTGCTAAGGTCCCCCAAACACTGCCAAGAGTAATTCCTGAGTGCAGAGCCAGGAGCAAGCCCTGAGCACCACTGGGTGTGACCCCAAAAGCAAAACAAACAGAAAAACAACAACAACAAAAAAAAAAAAACAAAAAAAAAACACGAGATGCACCCTTTCTAGAAGAGGATTCATCAGTGAAATATTTACTCACAATGGGTCTTTTTTTGGGGGGAGGACACACCCGGCAGTCGTCAGGGCTTACTCCTGGCTCTGTGCTCAGGGATCAGTCCTGTCAGACCTTGGGGAACCATATTGGGTGCTGAGGATCGAACCCAGGTTGGCCATATGTAAGATATAAATGCCCTACCTACTGCACATCTCTCCGGCCCCATTCATGAAGATTCAGAGCACCATTTTTTTTTTCTTTTTTGGGTCACACCTGTAAATGCTCAAGGGTTATTCCTGGCTCTGGACTCAGGAATTACTCCTGGCGGTGTTTAGAGGACCCTATAGGATGCTGAGGATTGAACCCGGGGTCGACCGTGTCCAAGGCAAACACCCCTGGCGCTGTGCTCTCTCTCCGGATGCCACTCCCAGGTTATTTCAAGGAGGCCAGAGGTGCAAATCATGTCATTGGAGAGCTAAAGCATGAGACTGGAGGGGTCCATTAGTAAGTCGGAAGTGGGAGGAGGCACAGGAAGGAAACAAGGCAAGGAAAAGGTTGACAAGCACTAATTTAGAGCACAAGGTTATGCAGAGTTCTGTGGCCTCTGGGTTCTTTAACCATTCAAGATTTATTTTTGTCACTAGAGCAACAGGACTGCAGGTGGGGCATTTGCCTTGCACGTGGCCATCCCCATTTTCCACCCCCAGCATCCTATATGTTCCTCTGAACACTGCCAGGAGTAATTTCTAAGTGCAGAGTCAGGAGGAAGCCCTGAGCACCACCAAATTATGGCCCAGAAATTAAAAAAAAAAAATTAAGCCGATTTTGAGTGCTGAGGTGATAGTAGGCATATAGGATGTTTGCTAAGCACAGTGATGTGTGGCCTCGCGCCAGGCAGCTCAAGTAGAACGCAGTATTGTCTCAGAGACACTTCCGGTTCCAGAATTACTTTTCGCTCTGGAACTATTGGGAAAGAACCCAGAGCAGATCCCTCTTCCGGTTCCTCATCTACTTTTTACAACAGGGTGGGGCGGATGCTTGTCACAGTTCCTGGAGCGATACACAAGCATGGCTGTTAACCCAAGAATCTTGTGCGTGTGTGTGGTGTTGGGCCATACCCAGCAGTGGTCAGGGTTGACTCATAGCTCTGTGATCAGGGATCACTCGTGGAAGGGTCCAGGGGACCCTATGGGTGTTGGGGATCAAGCCCGGGATGACGGCCTGTCTTGCAAACCGCTATTTCTCTCTTCCCTGAATGCAGACTTTACATGCAGGAAGTGCAGGTTCTTACCCGGAACGCATAGTACCCTGAGCACAGAGCCAGAAGTAGCCCCCACATGCCACCGGGTGTGGTCTCCAAATAAAAAGTACAAAAGGGTCAGAGCAATAGTAGGAGGGACTTGGCCTTGCACATGGCTGACTCAGGATCCATCCTTGGCATCCCATAGGGTCCCCCAACCCCCACCAGGAGTAATTCCTGAGCTCATCCAGGAGTAACCCCTAGAGCATCGTCAGGTGTAACCCCAGAACAACAAAAAAAATCCAAAACCAAAATTTACAACAGCTCTCCTGCTGAGTGGAATTTGTGACGTTTTTTTCCTCCCCCATTTCTTATGGAAGGACATTTCATCGGATCCTAGAGACCCCCAGAATATCCTTAATCCCTTACGATCCTGCAAGGAGAGACGGTTCCAGACGCACAAGCTTTCCCGGGGACCCAGGTGGCTGTTCCAAGGTGAGATTTTGAAGGCGTTTCCGCTCCCTGGGTTGAACAGGGAGCCGACGCGCCCCCTGGTGGCCGGGTGCGAGATCGCCCCCCACGTCATGCTCTGGCTTTGGAACAATCTAGGTTGTCTTGTCTTGCTGGAGGAGAGGGAGAGGGAATCCACATTTAATGCTGGGTTTCCAAGTGACTAGGATAGGGCCAGGGAGCGTCCCTGCAGAGACACAGCAGCCTTTGAAAACCAGTGAACAAAACAATCATCGGCTTTGTGTGTGTATGTGGGGATTTGCTGTGGGACCCCCGTCCTCGGCACTGCTGACTTATGCAGGGGCATCCTGAGCTCTGTGGGGGGTCTCCCTAACCCCCCCGCCCCGTGATACCAGGAGCCTGCTTCCTCGGTTGTGACCACCACAGATGTCCCCAAGCATGTCCAGTGACTCCTGTGATATGTCCAGAATCACTGGGCTGAGAATGTCATTTATGCTGAAGCAAGAGACGCTCCACTATTTCTTCCCCGGCGAATCTGGGTGGGTTGGCCGGTTAGTGCCACCTCGTGTCAGGTGAGGGGGACCCCCGAGAAGCCTTAACACTCAGTAGGACTCTTTCGTTGCATTCAGCCAACCCAGGTTTAACCATGGGAACTGCACAGGGCCTCCCAAGCTCTGCCCGGAGTGATCTCTGAGCACAGAGCCAGGAGTCGGCCCTAAGAATTGTTGGGTGAGGCCCCAAAACGAAACAAACAAATCAACACAGGGCTTTAAAATTTCATTATATGTTGAGGGGCTGGAGCGATAGCACAGCGGGTAGGGCGTTTGCCTTGCACGCGGCCAACCCGGGTTCGATGCCCGGCATCCCATATGGTCCCCTGAGCACCGCCAGGAATAATTCCTGAGTGTGGAGCCAGGAGTAACCCCTGTGCATCACCGGGTGTGACCCAAAAAAGAAAAAAAAATCCATTATACGTTGAAAAGCACAGGCCGCCTGTAAGTTTTGGCTGTCCTGGGGACCTCAGCATGGGGACATACCAGAGGAAGGTGGGCCTGCTCTGCCCACGTTCCCCTGACCAGGCTGGCTCCTGGGAGCCCCCAGATTACTTGTCACCTGTGATGGGACTCTGCATCATCTGGCTGGGCTGCTGAGTGATGCTCAGCTAATGGTCACTGGGCCAGTAAAGCAAGGCAAAGGGTCTGCCCCAGAGTGGGTGGGTCACATCTCATCTGCGGTAGGTTATTGAGAACAAAAGGGGCTGAGTGGTATTGACAGAGGGTCTCGGCCTCCAGAAGCAGCTGTCTCAGTCAGCAACCCACTGGCCTTGGGGCCACCCCATAGATTCTCTGGATGCTCATGCCTTTGGCCTGGCCTGGGATACAGACCTGGTGTGCGTGCGTGTGCGTGTGCGTGCATGCGTATTGCGTGTGTGGCTGGGCGGGGGGCAGCCTCCAAACGCAAAATGACAGACTTGATGCCAAATTCCTCTGACAGGGGAATCTCCCCAAAAGGTCATGAGCCAACGTGGGGACCAGCATGCGGGGAAATGCCTTCTGCATCAGGTCAAGGCCGAGGCCCACCTGCGGGATGGTCAGGATCCTGGGCTGCCGCAGCCCCTGCTCCCACCCCACTGTCCTAGCTGTGATGCTGACCTCTCGGCCGCGTTCCCAAGAAAACGCTCCCCCAGCAGCCAGCCCATGGCAGGTCCCAGCTCTGTGGGGCCAGAGCAGTACCCCAAGGTGGCCTCGTGTCCCCAGGGGACACGAGGGGGTGATGAGAAAGGCTGAGACCTGGGGGGTGATGAGATAGGCTCAGGGAAGCCGTTTCTCTCTCCAGGCTGGCAGGGGGTGGATTCCCAGAGCAGGCGCGTGTGTGTCATCAGGAGGCTCAGGGGACACTCTGGGGGCACTGGAGAGGAGAGGCGGCAGCACCCCGACCCGCTGTGGGTTCCTGGAGTCAGCCCAGAGTGGACTGAGGCCATGGGGGGGAGGGGACACAGCACTCCCACCCCTGCTGTCCACCCTGGGGGTCAGTTGGGGACACCAGGTGGGCAGCTGCTGTTTCCGGTGCGTTCACTGGAGTGGATGGGGAGAAGGCGGGGTGGTGAGCCCCGGAGGGCGGCGCGGCAGAGGGGACACGGGCAGAGCAGAGTCTCGCGTTTATTCCCCACCATGACACGCGCCGCGGCTTGGGCACCGGTGCTGACGGGGTGCGGGGGCCGGCAGGGGCGCCCCCCCAACGGCTCTGACCACGCTCGCGGCCTGCCCTCTGCGGGGCTCGGGGAGGGGCTGCGGGTCTGTCCCCGGTGGGGACCCTCCGCTGGCCCACCTGGAGGCGGCGGGTGGCACCAGAGCCCGCCCCGGGGCTCCCCCAGGTCACAGTCCCGTGGCTGGGCCGACCCGAGGAGCCGCAGGAACTGGACACCAGCGAGTCCCTCCAGCGGCCTGGGCGCGGGGCCACCACGAGGTCCCCTGCGGACAGGCAGGGGTCGGGGGGGCGTGGGGCGACGCCTGCCTGACGCTGCTGCTGGCCAGGGCGTCCTCACCCGTAATTCTAGAAAAGGCTTTGGGGCGGGGGTGGGGGGAAGGGGATGGTGGGGCAGGGGGGGTGCTGGTCTGTGCCCGCTGGGGGCCGTGGAACTACAAAAAGGATGAGGAGGTGGGGGCTGGGGGGGGGGGGGAGTGGGGCGAGGCCAAAGGGAAACAGAAAAATCACGAGAGCCGGCGGGCATGCAGGCCCGAGTCTTTCTTTTTCCCTTGGGCAGCCCCGAGGGTGTGGCTTCTGGTGGGCCAGAGGCCCCGAGGGTGGCAGGCGGCTGCAGGGAGAACACGGGCACAGGCCGGGCATCAGTCGGGCGTCAGGGCCGCCTGAGGACCCTGGCGGATAGAGCTCCTGCCGCACCTCCCTGGGGACCCCTGGGTGTGACCGGGGTGGTGGGAGGTGGTCCGAGTTGCCCCCCACCCCCAACCCACCTGGCGCGGGCGAGCTGGGCCCCCCCGGGGGTCATTCCTGCTGCTCGTCGTTGCTGGCACTGGGCGCCCGGCTCCGGATCTGGCTGCGCAGCTGCTCGATCAGCTCGGGGTTCTGCTGCTGCATCTGCTGGGCGAACTGCTGGCCCCTGGGGGGACACGGGGAGGGGGGGGACGGGACGGCGCGGGTTCAGGGGCGCCTTACAGGGTGGGGACCCGCCCCCCCGCCCTGCCTCCCCCCCCTTCCATGCCGCTACTCACGCCTGGATGAGGCTGGCCAGGTCGTTTTGGGAGGGGCTGGTGCTGGGGTTCCCCAGGGGGTTGTGGCCCCCTGAGATCATGCCGGACATGCTGTGGGAAGGGGGGAGGGGGAAGAGGCCGCTGGCACCAGGCGCAGAGCCCCTCACCCCACCCACGCTCCCGCTTGGCTCCCACCCAAGGCCGCCCCAAGAGTCACTGGGTGATGTCAGACACCTCCCTCCCCAGGCCCCGTGGGGCGAGGGCCCTTTCTGGAACATTCCAGAATCCATGACCCCCCCCCCCCCCACAGTTCCACTCAATGGTGCTGGACACTGCTTGGCAGCACTGGGAGAGGGGGCGTTTGCGTGCCAGGAAACGGGGTCCCAGCCCAGGACGGGGTCACTCACAGCTGCTGGACTTGGGGGTTGTTCATGAGGTTGGATGCCTGTGGAGTGGGGGGAGAGAGACGAGTCAGGGCAGGGGTGCGGGGCGGACCCCTGCACCAGAGAGGAACCAACCAGCACCCCTGCGGGTTCAATGGCCGCGACTGAAGTCGCTGCTCTCGTCACTGAGTTCTGGAAGGTTCCAGGCCTCTCAGCCACTCAGGTCCCACTCAGGCCAAGTATGCTCAGAGGCGTGTCTTCCCATCAAAGTTACATGCGAGGCCTGTCCCAGCACCTAAGGGTGCTCAGAGTGTCCCTGAGACTGCAGAGCCCCTGATGACGGGGCAGGCTTACCCGAGGGCCAGGCAAGGCCCATTCCCGTTCTCAGAAAGCCAGAGTGGGGGGGGGGGGTGCCCCACCCGCTGAAACCCCTGACATCTGTGACCAGGCCTTACCATGCTCATGAAACTCGGGTTGTTCAACAGGCCGGCGATGTCAAAGCTGCCCGCGCCGCCCGTCTGCGGAGGGGAGGGGACAGCGGTCAGGGGGGCCAGGGACCCCACCCATGTCGGAGGAGGCTGGGCCCACCCTGCGGCGATGGCCACTGCCCAGAACTGGCCCCACGTCCCCATCCCCCCGCCCAGGCTCGATGAGGGGGGACCCCGCTCTGGAGCCGGCCAGAGTCATGTCGCTGTGTCCCCCCCAACATCCTGCCATGCCCAACGACCCACCCTGCCCACCCTAAGACACGGACTGAGATGGCGCTGGCCCCTGAGCACCAGCGGGTGTGGCCTCGAACGGGAACAAAAAAGGAAGAGGAAGAGTCCGCCTCCTGCCCCCAGTCCCGGCTGCCCGGCCCGCCCGCTGACCCCCCTGCCCCTCCCCCCCAGCCTGGCCTGCTGACTCCCTGCCACCGCCACCCCCCCCCCCCGCCCCAACCCTCACAGGACTCGGCGCCTCCCGTAGCTTCAACTCTGCGATCTTGAGGTTCGATTTGTACGTGTCGTTCTCGGGGTCCAGTTCCAGCGCCTTCTTGTAGTAGACCACGGCCTCCGTGTGCTTGTTCAGGCTGGACAGCGCCAAGCTGGGGGGACAGCGGGGGGACAGGTCCGGAGGGGGGGTTCTAATGTCCATGGGGTCTGGTGGGGGTGCACCCGGAGCCCATGGGGCAAGGGGACACAGGAGCCACAGGAAGGCCGGTCGCCAGGGAGCAGAGGTTGGGAACCCCCCCACCCCGAGGTCCGAGACCTCAAAGCCTCCAAGTTGGGAGATGGCGCCCCAGTGGCTGCGTGGGGCCCAGGGGGGTGGGGTGCCCTGCTCACCCCATCCTGCCGTAGGCCTTGCTGTAGGCCGGGTCGATGCGGATGGCGCGCTCGCAGTCCTGCACGGCCCCTGTGTAGTTCCCCAGTTTGCTGTAGGCGGCGGCCCTGCGAGGGCAGCGGACACAAGGGGTGGCCATGAGATGCGGGAGGGGGGCCTTCTGGAACCTTCCAGGCAGGGACACTCAGACCTGTGTCTCAGGACACATCGCTGCATGGCGGTGTTTGAGGGCTGGCCAGGCGTGATCCCACCCCTTCTAGGGGTGCCACACAGTGCCTGGACGACACCCACCCTATGCCGCCCTGGGCCACCAAGGTGCAGAAAAGGGGGACTGGGTAGGCCATGCAGACGGGAACAGCGCAGATCCCCCAAACCTTGGACCCTCAGGACAAGCTGCTCCACGCTCAGGGCAGAGACGCTCCAGGAGGTCATGGGGACTCCCTCGGGGTACTGCCCCTGGCGGGGGTACCCTCCTGGTGGCGCTCAGGAAGGGGCCCAGGGCTCCCGCGTGTAGAGCTGCCCCCCCCCTCCCTGGGGTGACCCCCGAGTCCCATCCTGGCACCCCTGGGCACACCAGGAGGGAATAGACGTGGAAGAGAAGCGGAAGCACAGCCTGGCGCCCCTGACGGAGTTGGGGGACCCCACGGGCGGGCACCTGTTGCAGAAGTAGACAGCGTTGGCGGGGTTCAGCTCGATGGCTTTGCCGTAGAAGTGTATGGCGGCCTCAAAGTTCTCCACCTTCATCTGCTCGTTCCCTAGAGAGATGCCAGCAGGTGACCTTGGGGCCCCTCACCACCCCCCACCCCCTGCCCTGGGGTTTCCGCTCCGAGGCCTGAGCAGCTTTCAGAGGTTCGGCCGGAGGCAGGAGGGGGCCAGGAAGGGAAAGGGGTCTTCTCAGGGAGGCCCAGGGCAGCCTCCACCATCTCAGCTCTGGCTCTGGGGTCGGGACCCGCCCTCCGAGGGGCCCCTGCAGCCACTTTGCTTCTTTATGCTTTTGGGGTCACACCCAGCGGGGCTCAGGGGACCCGAAGAAATGCCGGGGATGGAACCTGAGTAGGCCGTGAGCCAGGCCAACACCCTCCCTGCTGTACTATGGCCCCAGACACTGCAGCCACACCGAAGGCCCCCTGTGGTCCTGCCCCAACCCGCAGTCAGGCTGGGCCGCATGGTCTTCTAGTTCCAGAATGTTCCATCACTCCAAAGGATTCCCCCCCCCCGCCCCCACTGCTGGTCCAGTGACCCACACATTTTTTTTTCTCTTTTGCTCTTTCTTTTGGGTCACACTTGGCGATGCACAGGGGTTCCTCCTGGCTCTACACTCAAGAGTTACCCCTGGCGGTGCTCGGGGGACCCTGTGGGATGCTGGGAATCGAACCCGGGTCGGCTGCATGCAAGGCATATGCCCTACCCGCTGTGCTATCACTCCAACCCGACCCACACACGCTTGCAGCCCTCCGGGGGGGCGGGGGGGGGGGGGAGGGCTGACCGGGCCTGCGCCCCCTCCCCGCGCTTGTGCTCACCCTCAGTTTTGAGGCGCTCGGCCTCGGCGAAGTCCTCCTCCGATGGGGGGCTGCACTGGGGGCTCCTCAGCTCCGGCGGCATCTCCTGGTCCCAGAGCAGAGATGAGCCCACTTGGGGTGACCTGGACGCCCACTGCTCCCCCAGGGGGTGGTGGTGGGGGGTGTAGCAGGGGCTCACCTTGCCCTCAGCAGCTGCGTTAAATATTTCTGGAAGGGTCTGGGGGAGCGCGAGGTCATTGTCATCCAGTGTCACCCCAAAGGCAGTCTCCAGGCATTGGATGGCCACTGGGGAGATATGAGGGGGGTAGTCAAGGCGGGGCCGGGGACGCAGCCCTTCCTCTCTCGGGGGCCGTGGGGTTCCAAGGCCCGGGTTCTCCACTCGCGCCTGGGAACGCCGAGAGCGGGACCCCAGCAGAGCTCAGATGTGACCCTCAGCAGGAGCTGCCTGGCTGGGGCTGCTCTGGAAGCAAGGCTGTCCCCACCCCCCGCCCCGAAAGCTGCCCCCCGCCCCTGCCCAGATGGAAGCTCCTGAGAAGCCCTGCAGGTTCCCAGATGGGGGGGAAGTCTCTGAGCGCCATCCCCGCTGCACCCTCCTGGGGGGGGGTGTGTGTGTGGGGGGGGGGGGAGGGGTCCCTGCACCTTCCAGGCTCTCCTGGGCGTCAGACGAGAGCCCCCCGTGAAGCAGCTGGTCGTGCAGGAAGCGGATGATGGCATAGGCCAGGCGCTTCTTGTTCTCCATCTGGACAGACGGACGGGAGGGCGCCGCGCCCGGCTCAGCGTCTGCGGGATGGTCACAGTCACGACCCCCACGCACCAGGGGACCCCGCGGGGGGCCGCAGACAGGTGCGAGTGACAGGCAGGGGACAGTGTGTCACGTTTGGGGCGACAACCCGCACAGGGGACACTCGTGGGCCACGCTGCCCATCCCAGCCACCCTGCCCCCTCCCCGGGAGCTGAGCACAGCAGGCCCAGGTACCCTGAAACGCCTCTTACGGGGTGCACGGAGAGCTGTCTCCTGAGAGCCTCCCCTGCTTCTGGGAAGCCAAAGGCGGGAAAAGGGACTGAGAGGGGGCGAGCCTGGACCCCCGCACCCTGTCGGCTTTACGAACCCAGGCTGGGGTGCTGCGGCCAGAATATCCCCATGATGGGGTGCTGGGAGCTGCACCCCAGGTCACAGGACAGCCGGGTCAGAGTCACTTCCAATAAAGGGAGGGTGGAGGGAGCCATTGGCTGTGTCTGACCTGCATCGTGTGTGTGGGGGCTGGGCTGTATGTGTGTGTACACACACACACACACACACACACACACACACACACACACACACACACACCCCAGATCACAGGCGAGCACTACACAAGATGGCCGGGCCCATAGCTCGCAAGCACAGCATCTTGTCCCCAACATTTCATGCCCGGGATCGACAGCCTGTGCGCTCCTGGCCCCATCAGGGAATCCTGCCTGCAGGCGAACTTGCTGGGGAGGGAATGCCTGGTATGCGGGAGTCCCGGGTTCAAGCCCCCTGCAATGCCCACTCGGACAACCCCTATGGTGCTCCCACACCTCACTGGGGTCACTCTCAGGTCCAACCCTCTGACCCCAGGACCTTTGTACAGGCTGCTCAAACGTGAGAATTCCCGCCCTACCCTGGCTCCTGCCAGAAGCCTTCCCAGCTGATGTCACTGTCCCTCAGTGCCACCCTGCACTAGGGGACAGCGGGAAGGACATCAGTGTCAGTGGCTGGGCACAAGCTGCTCCCTGGGGCGACAAGAAAGGGCGGGTCTGAGCTGCTGGACTCCTGCCTGGCTCTGGCACGGGCACGGGCCCAGGCCCCACGCGGCCTGTTTGCCGAGTGACATTTCCTGCCCTTCGCGCTGCCCCAGTGGAGGCAGGTCAGGGTCCCCCATCCCCAAGTCCTCCAGGGGCCCTGTGGGGACCGCGAGGGGAACCAGCCCAAACACAGGGGCCGGAGCTCGGCCCTGAGGGCAGATTCCGGGCCACAAACACACCCCAGCTTCTCCCCCGGGCCTCGACACCTCTCAGAGTCAACACTGGCCGGAGCCCTCACCCCAACCCCGATTCGGGGAGCTGCTCCCGGAAGAAGCAAGGGGCCCCCACCATTGTGGGCCCAGCTCACACCCACCTCTCTCACTCAGGTGGGGGGCCGGCACCCCACGTCCTTCCCCGGGGGTGGGGGGAGAGGAACCTCAACTTGGGGAGGCCACGCGCATGGCTGGGGCCAGTGCCCCGTGTCCTAGAGCCAAACCCAACCTTGGTCCTGCCCAGTTCCAAGGCCACCACTTGTGGGGTGACCGGGGCTGGGGGACGTTCCATGGCCCGCCGTCAGAGCTGGCTCAGGGTGCCAGGTGGGGGTGTGGCCCCGTTTGCCAGCCTGGGCACTACCCTGTGGGTCTCACGGACCCCATCATCCTGTTCCTCAGGATCCTGGAGCACTGCACCCGCTTAAACATACACGGAGGGAACCAGGACCGTCCTAGGAATTGCAGTGACAGAAATGAACTTCACAGACCATGGGGGGTGAGGGGGCTGCGTCTATCTTAGGACACACACACACACACACACACACACACAGACTTACACACGCTCACACCAAATAAAACACACACACACCCACCAAGTAACACACCATATAAAGCACACAAACTCACACCAAATAAAACACACACCAAATAAAGCACTCACACACATTAAACACACACTCACACACCAAAGAAAGCACACTCACACCAAATAAAGCACACACTCACACACTCAAATCAGACACACTCACCCATCAAATAAAACACACACATACCCACACATACACAAAGTCTCACACAATACACACCAAATAAAACACACACACACACACACACACAGAGTTTGGTCTCATATGGTTCATTTTCTCTCACATACACTTTCACACAGACACACACATTCAGGGGGTACATGACTAACTCCTGGAGGTTGAGGTGTCTCAGGCAAGTGTATTTTTTGGGGGGGCACTCCTGGCAGTGCTCAGGGATCACTCCTGGCTCAGAGATTCCTGGCAGGCTGAGAGGCTCTATGGATGCCAGGGATCAAACCTGGGTTGGGAGCAAGGCAGGTGCCCTCTGCTGTCAGGTGTCCAGGACACAGTGGTGGGGTCACAGGGGTCCCCGAGAGCACCGGCCCCCACCTGACAGGTCAATTTCTCCCAGAACCCTCCATGCATACACAGCGCAGAAAGGGGGCAGGGGTCCCCACCTTGTGCACAGATGGGTCTTCAGCACCAAGTGACCAAGGCGAGCCCCCCTCCTGGTCTGTGTCCCCTGCTCGCGGGGACAATCACGCCTTGTCACCCCACCCCCGCAGCAGCCAGGCTCCAACAGGGAGGGCTTTATCCAGGCGGCACTGGGGGCTGCCCTAGTGTCGTGGGGTGCGAGGCGCAGCCACACAGGGCGGTGGTGACCCCGGTGGTTAGTCTCCCTCAGGGGGGCCCTGGGGCCCTGCATCCCACAAAGAGCCCGCCCCGAGTTCCTGGGTCACCCCGAGGGCAAGATCAGTCCCCTCTGCAGGACCGTCTCCCAGGGAGACATCCCCCCCTTTCTGCAAGACTGGCACCTGAGGTCACGACCCACCTTCTGCGGGACCGTCCCCCTCCAGCTGGCACCCTAGTCCCCGGGCAGGACTGTTTGGGGGCCGGAGTGATAGCACAGCGGGTAGGGCATTTGCCTTGCATGTGGCCGACCGAGTTCGATCCCCGGCATCCCATATGGTCCCCTGAGCACCACCAGGAATCATTTCTGAGTGCAGAGCCAGGAGGAACTCCTGAGCATCGCTGGGTGGGACCCCCCCCAAAAAAAAATCAGGCAGGATTGCTCAGGGGCCCCAGGGAGGGCTTGTACCCAGCGACCTGCCTTGGTTCTAGCTGCGTCCCCAGCTCAGCCCCACCCCTCACCCCCGTCCTTCTGAAGCCACTGGCTGGGCCAGGTGGGGACATGAGTGAACACATATGGGTCCACTGGCCTCCGGAGTCACCAGCTGACCCCCTCTGCTGGCCCCCCAGTGCTCACTTGTCACCAACTGTTCTCGAACAGCAAGGCCATACCCCCAGAGAGGGGGGCAGCCCCCTTTCCAGTGAAGCCACACCCCCAGATAGGGGGACAGGCGCTTTTCCAGAGGGGTCACGCTCCGAGGTAGCAGGGCCACACCCCCAGACAGCAGGGCACCCTACTTCTCAGGGGGGACATACCCCCAGACAGCGGACACCCCCTCATCCAGCAAGGCTAGACCGGGAGACAGTGGCCAAGACCCCTTTCCAGCAGGGCCATACCCCCAGACAGCAGATGCCTCCTTTTCTAGTAAGGACATCCCCAGACTGAGGGGACCCCCTTTCCTAGGGGACCAGGGCCTCTCCAGTGGCCTGTGGCTCCCTCATCCTGTCTCCCTCGGGGCTTGGTGGGGTCCAGAGCTACACGGCCCAGCACTTCTCCAGGGGTCTTTATTTTTTCTTTTGGGGGTCACACCCGGCGATGCACAGGGGTTTACTCCTGGCTCTGCACTCAGCAAATACTCCTGGCGGTGCTCGGGGGACCCTATGGGATGCTGGGAATCGAATCCGGGTCGGCTGGGTGCAGGGCAAACGCCCTGCCCGCTCTGCTACTGCTTCAGCCCCTCCAGGGGGTCTTATATCTTTGTCTCAGACGAACAAATCCACCAGCAAGTCCGGTCCCCCCATCCGCTCCAGTCTCATCCATGGTGCACCCACCAGTGAGTCTCGGCAGAGGGAAGGAGAAAGCCCTGGCAGCTCCCCAGTCTGGGGCCCTGGCTTACAAGCAAACCATTTCTCTCCTGCACCGGATAGTGCTCAGGGTCCTCTCCTGGCGGTGCTCAGGGGGCACTAAGTGGTGCTGCGGTGACACCTGGGGTTGGTCACGTGCCAGGTCAGCACCTTAATCCCTTTTTTGTCCCTCGGACCCCTGAAAACCTTTCAGGGCTGGAGCTCCGGGTTCCACCCCGCATCCCGGACACGCAGGCTACTGGGAGCGGCCCCCAACAACAAGAGCAAAAGGATCCTCAGGTCTGGGGGCCCTGGACTCCTGTGTGCAACGCACACCAACACATACGTGCATGCACGCATGTGTGTGCGCACACACATGCATCATACATGCAAAGATACAAATGTGTCACTCTGAACCAACAGGACCTGCACTCGGAGTCTATACTCAGCGTAACCTCCTCATGCCTTAGTTGAGAGAGAGAGAGAGAGAGAGAGAGAGAGAGAAAGAGAGAGAGATCGATCTCCAGGGGACAGAGTTATCATACAGTGGGGAAGGCACTTGCCTTGCAGGTGGTCGACCCGGATTCCATCCCCAGCGCTGCAGAGGGTCCGCGAGCACTGTCGGGCGTGCCCCCCCAAAAAACAAAAAACCAAGAACAAAAACAAGCAAACAGAAAGCACTCACAGAAAAAAAAAAAAACTCAGTGGTTGGGGCCAGAGCGATAGTCCAGCGGAGGGGGGAGGGCATACGCCTTGCATCCCAGCGACCCGCATCCCATGTGGATCCCTTAGCAAGCCAGGAGTAATTCCTGAGCGCAGAGCTGGGAGTAACCCCTGAGCACCACCGGGTGCAGCATCCCCACATGAGAGAGAGAGAGAAAAAAAAAGCTTACTTGTGATTCTTGGGGTTCATGCACAGTCAACCCCAGGTTCAAATCCCGGACCTCCCGGACCCCCGGCATCCCATTCCCCAAACACTGCCAGGAGGGGATCCCTGAGTGCAAGAGCCCGGGGTAGACCCTGAGCACCGCGGGGTGTGTGCCCCCCCTCCCCAAACAGCCACTTGGCCGCAAACTCGGTGCAGCAAGTGAGAGAAAACGGGGGATGCGTTCACCTCACAATGCCCCGGGTTCACCTCACAACGCCGGTTGCAGGAAAGAAACAGATGCTCGAGATTAGGGGGGGGGGAGATGGGGGGGGGGCGGCGGGCGCGGGGAGATTCCACCAGGGCTGACAGGTTTCCCCCCCCCCGCCCCCGTCCCCAGACCCCCACCACAAGTCCCCGAGCGTGGGAAGACACAAAGCCAGACCTTTCTGAGCTACTTTTTTTTTGGGGGGGGGGGAGGGGGGAGCATCCCGGGCCTGACTTTGAGGGCCCGCCCCCTCCCCTTCCAGGGAGCGACAGTCACGACGCCCGTTTCCACAGACGGGGAGACCGAGGTCCCGAGAGTGGAGCAGGTCACCAGCGTCCCGCCCGAGTCCTAGGAACGGGGTCATCCCGCTCCAAGCCCCCCATTCAAAGTGTCCGTGATTCGGGCAGCGGGGGGAGGGGGGAGGGGGCCGCCGGCCAGCAGCCACTCCGTGCGGGGGTGGGGGGCGGAGGTGTCCCACCTCTCAGGGGGTCCACTCTGGGGGCTGCGAACCCGCATCTCTGGGCCGGCGGGTGCGGGCGCGGGTGACCCGGGTCGACAGGGCCGGCCCGACGCCGCCTGCCTCAGTTTCTCCTCCGCGCCGCCCACTTAAGGGAGCCCGCGGACCACGGAGATGCCGGTCACAGAGGGAGCCCCTCTTACAGGCCCGGGAACCCCGAGAAGCCCAGCATCGCCATGCCGAGGAGCCCCCCCGCACAGCTGCAAAGCCCCCGACTCACCTCTCGGGCTGCCGAACCCCGGCCCACCGACGGCTGCGCCTGCGCATGGCGGCGCGGCCAGGCCCCGCCCCCTCCGTCCACCACGCCTGCGCGGAAGCAACCGGCTCCCGGCTGATTTTAACTCTGCGCAAGCGCGATGCTTCCCGAGGCGGGCGTGTCAGGAAGTGACGCGTTGAGGGGCGGGGCCGAGCTGGTCGTTAGGGCAACTGACCTCTGCGACCTAACAGAGACCGGAAATCAGGACTTTCTGGTACTTAAGAGCGTTCCTGGAGCGGTGCATGGTGGGACAGTGGGGGATTCCTGCAGGTCGGCTCTACCGGCCACGTGGGTCCCGGTCGGCCACGTGGTGTAATTCCGTTTGGGTTTCAGGCTTTTGGTCCAGCCGGGATGCTCTGTGGGATGCCCTGTGAATAGCCACGCCTTGTTCCCTGCTGCACGTCTTGGCTTTTATGCTCACCCACCCATCTACCCACACATCCACCAATGCGTTCTTTTATTCATTCCCAGTCCAGGACGAGGAATTGAGACGTTTGTTTACAGCATATGCCTAGCATGCATTTAACAAATCCTCGTTGCAAACCAACTAGGCTCTCTCTTTTTTTTTTTTTTGTTTTTGCTTTTTGGGTCACAGCAGGTGACGCACAGGGGTTACTCCTGGCTCTGCACTCAGGAATTACTCCTGACGGTACTTAGGGGACCATATGGGATGCTGGGAATCGAACCTGGGTCGGCTGCGTGCAGGGCAAACAGCCCAGCAAGCTACTGAGAGTACCTCCCCCGCACAGCAGAGCCTGGGCAAGCTCCCCGTGGAATATTCTATATGCCAAAAACAGTAACACCAAGTCTCACAACAGAGACGTTACTGGTGCCTGCTCGAGCAAATCGATGAATAACGGGAGAACAGTGCTACAGTGCAGGTACTACTACTGGTTTATCAGAGTTGTAGAGTTTGAGATGTCAGGAAGTTTAGCATTTTTATCGGGAAGGTAAGGCGGGAGTTGATATTTTTAACTGGATGGCAGCTTTGGGGTATGGACATGACTGCACTGATATACATCATTACAAAGCTGTTCATGATCGGGTTTCAGTCATACAATATTCCAACACCCATGTCTCCACCAGTGTACATTTCCCACCACCTATGTCCCCAGTTTCTCTCACGGTGATTCAATAAAAGGAATTTAAGTGAAAAAAAAATTGCAACCAGCATGGCCGAGGTCAGAGAGATAATACAGTGGGTAGGACACTTGCCTTGTATGAGGCTAATATGGGTTCGATCTCTCATGTCCCAAGTGGTCCTCTAAGCACTGCCAGGAATAAATTTCCGAGCGCAGAGTCAGGAATAATGAGCATTGCTAGGTGTGGTCCCCACCTCCCAGAAATTGCTACCAATAATCTTCCAACACACTTTAAAGTTTTTTTTTTTAATGGTTTTTGAGCAACACCTGGTGATGGAATTAGGAATTATACCTAATTGTGCTCAGGGAACCCTGTGGGATGCCAGGGATCGAACCTGGATATCCCTGTGGAAGACAGAGTTTATATAGCTCTCAACACATATTTATCTTACTTAAATCACATGCACATTTAGTCATTTGTCCTTTTCAAGACTTTCCCTGAAATAATAGGCATGGATATTTTTCGCCGGGTGATAGGGAGGGATGGAGGTGCTTAGGGCTTACTCCTTGCTTTATGTTCAGGAATCCCTCCTGACGGGACTTGAAGAACCATACGTGGTGCCAGTGGTTGAATCCAGGTGGTGTCGCATAGCAGTCAAGGATTCTACCCAGCATATTATCACTCTGGCCCAAGGTGCGGACTATTTGACCTGTTAAACTCATCTTTTACTTCCTGGGTTCTATAGATCTAGCTGTTGAGGTGGGAGGCCAGGAAGTGTTTTGTCTTGAATGCAGTCCACCTAGGTTCGATCCCCAGCACTTCATAGACTTCCCTAAACCTTGGCAGGAGTTATCCCTGAACGCAGAAAAAGAAGTCAGCTTTAAGCACCACCAAGCGTATTCCCAAAACAATAAAAAAAAAGAATATATATATATTTATCATCATTATTATTTTTTCTTTATCTCCACTACCTGATATCACTCAGGTGACTGCTCTGTTCCCAAACACCTGTGATTTGAAGTCCCGGATCCATATATTAAAGCTTTCCGGGTTATCCTTGATAGCTAGTGCCCGTGTGTACTGAAGTTAAGTGGAAAACCTCTCCTCATTAGCTGCTATAAACGGAGCAGGATGCTGGGATATGCAAGTAAGGAAAAACACACGTAAAGGGCAGCAAAGCCTAAGTCGGAGGAGGAAAGCTACACACGGCGGCATGCAGGTGTTGTGTGTGTGTGTGTGTGTGTGTGTGTGTGTGTGTGTGTGTGTGTGCGCGCGCGCGCGCATATATATATATATATATCTAGGTCCGCGCGCGCCTCAGCCAGCAGCGGTGTGCGTTTCCATGGAAACAGCATAGGAAGCCCCACCCCCTGCCGCCGGTAGCCAATGATAGGGAAGGGAGGCGGTGCAGCCCCGGCACGCATGCGCCCTCCCAGCATGCCTTGGGCGCGCGCGCCGCGAGCGCCTCAGTCGCGGCTGACGCGGGCCGGGGAGTGGACGGAGTCGACGTGGTGGCCGGGGCTGACGGGCTGAGGCGGCGGAGTCGGAGTCGGAGCGACGCGGACTCGGTGGCGGGAGGGACGGACTGGCCGAGCGCCCCTGTGCCCGCCATGAAGCCCCCCGCAGGTACCAGCTGCCCTTCGACGAGGGCTCGGCTAGCCGCCCTCAGGCGCCCCCCTCGTCACGGGGGTCGCGACTTGGGCCTCACGAGAGACGCCCGTCGAGGGACTTGGTGGGGGGGCGGCCCGGAGGGGGATGCGGGGCTGGCGGCCGAATGAATGAATGAATGAGTGAACGAATGAAGCACTTTTCCTCAGCAGCGCGTCGCTCGCGCCGGCTGCCACCTCCCTTCAGCCGCAGATAGCGGGCGTGGGGCCCGCGGGATGGACTTTTTGTGTGCCGGGGGCGTTCGGGATGAGCCTCCCCCAGCCCCCGACGGACTTAGAGGGTCCGGGAGCAGCGGACCAGCTGACGAGAGACCCCGAGTTGGTGGTCCGAGTTGGGGGGTCGGCCGTCCTGCGGAGAGACCCGGCGGTGGCGCGGCCTCTCGCTGCCACTCGTGTGACCGGTTTGCGGAGCAAAGTCGATGTGGCGACACAGCACAGTCGGGCCCCGGAGGGAATTTTTTTTTCCCCTTGTGGTTTGTGTGTGTGTGTGTGTGTGTGTGTGTGTGTGTGTGTGTACGCGCGCGCGCGGGGTGTGGAGGAGCCTTTGGGGCACACTCCGCGGTACCCAGGGGTGATTCCTGGTGGAGCCGGGTGCCAGGGATGGTGCCTGGGGCCGAATCAGAGTCATCATCCCTGTCATCGTCTTTCTGACTCCCGGCCTTTTTTTTTGTTGTTGTTGTTGTTTAAATTTCTTCCCCATTTTGCTTGTTTTTTTGGGGCCACACCCTGCGATCCTCAGGTCTGACTCTTGGCTCAGTGCTCAGGGCTGACTCCTGGTGGTGCCGGGGATGGAACCCGTGTGCGAGGCAAACACCATCGGTGCTGTGCGATCGTTTCTGGCCCCCGATTTTGTATTCCCCACCTCCCGCCCAGTTCCAGGATTTTTATCTTGTTCTCCCTCGAGGGGAGCTCAGTGACCTGTGTCCTGTGTTTCAGGCCCTCCACCCCTGTGGTTGGGGTGCCCCTCCCAAGGCCTTTCTCATGCCTCACCCACCCACTTCATCATCCTGTGACCGGCCACCTGCTACTTGGATGACGGTGACTGTTGCGTTATCCATGAGCACTAGGAGGAGGGTCGCCCGCCGCCGGCATGTCCTTGTCCTCTGCCTCACTGGCCTCAGGATTGTTTGCCAGGGGACCTCTAGGCGGTGGCAGCCCCGAGTGGGTTCATCCCTGCGACTACTGACCCCGATTTTCTATTTTTTTTTTTTGTTTTGTTTTTTGGGTCACACCCCGTGATGCTCAGGGCTTACTTCTGGCTCTGTGCAGGGATTACTCCTGGCGGTGCTCAGGGGACCACCCTATGGGATGCCGAGGATCAAACCCTGGTTGACCGCTTGCAAGGCAAACAACACCCTCCTCATTGTGTTACTGCTCCAGCCCGTGACCCGATTTTCACCCCAACCCCAGCTCTGTTCCCTCAGTCCCATCTACTTGGAGCCCTGTGTTTTTCCCACAGGCCTGAAATCTCCAACTCTGCACACAGACCTACTTCCTGGACCTCCACAGTGAAAGTGACCCTAACAGACGCGAAATTTCTTTATTTTTCCCTTTTTTTTTTTGTGGGGGCGGAGTGGGCACACCCAGTGATTCTCAGAGATCACTCCTGGCAGGGCTCAGGGCACCCAGTGGTCTGCTGAGCCTAGGCTGGCTGTATACAAGGCGAGTGCCTGCCCCACTGCCCTCTTACCCTGGCTCACTTCTTGTCCCCCCTCCTTTCTACCAGGGAGATAACTGTGGAATTATGGGGTGCCTCTGGTTGTAGGGGTTCAGTGATGCCCTGGGGTTCCCCCACTCGGACCCTACTGAGGACAATCCGTCCCATCCCCAGATCCTGCACTGATGCTTGGTGAATCAGTGTTGCGGGTTGGTGGCCTGGCCACATATCCACCTCTGCTGTCACATAATCTGTGGCATCTGGGCCCTGTTACCATCTTTTGGCGGGGCTGAGTCCACATCGGGGGTACCCCGTGGAGTCTGAGGGTGTTTGCCACACACAGGCTCATGTTCCAGGACTGTACAGTGGCACACTGCCACTCCTGCTCAGCGTCCTCCCTCACCCTGGGTTGCCGGGGTTGTCCCTGGGCAGAGGTGGGATTAAGATCCGCACCCCTGAAAGGTGGCCCATTGGACTGGTAGATCTGCCAGTGTCCATTCTGGGGCTCCTCCCTGCACTCTGGAGCCTGTGGCCCCTGCACCCTGCATGACCAGCTCCTCCGGCCTGCCCGGTCAAGCCAGCCCTAGCCCAGTGCCACCCACCCAGGTGGTGTGTCCTTTTTCATACCGATTTGCTGGCCTTTGGGCCACACGGTCAGGATCAGTGGGCCTCATTTATTGATTTATATTTGGGCTTTGGGGCTACACCTGCTGGTGCTCAGGGCTGACTCCTGATTGTATTCCTGGTGGGTCTTAGGGGACCTGTGGGGTTCTAAGGGCCCAAATCCATGTCAGGGGCATGTGGCGCAAGTGCCTTCTCCACTCTCTGATGACTCCTCTGGCCCGTGCATCTGTGATTGGGAGGCACAGCTCTGCCGCCCACTGCCCCTGGGCCTAGCGTGCAGGGCAGGCATCTGGAGGCCGAAGAACACCTGGTGTAGGCCCTCTTGTAGCCTGCCTGGCAGGTTTGGCTGCTGGCATTTGCCAACGTCTCGGCCCCCACCTCCCTGGTTTTCTTCTTCCAAATCTCCCTTACAGGATTTCTGTGATCCTCTCTGCTGAGGGGCCTCCCTTGTCTATACGCAATTTCCTCAGAGTAGCCCAGGATGGGGTGCTGGGACCCCTGTGGCATTCCATTTACCCCTACAGTTATGTTTGTTGAGGGGCCTGAGTAATAGAACAGCCAGGAGGGCGTTTGCCTGGCCGACCCAGGTTCGAGCCCTGGCATTCCATAGGTTCCCTGAGTCACACTGGGAGCCGGGAGTGACCCTTGAGCATTGCTGGATGTGACCCAAAAATAATTATTTTGGTTTAGGTTCATTCCTGTGAACTCGGGTGGGCCATGTTGGCCGCTTGTAAGGCGAACGCCCTACCCGCTGTGCTATCGCTCCAGCCCCCAGAGCAAATAAGGCTTTACCCGAGTTCGATTCCTCCGTCCCTCTCGGAGAGCCCAGCAAGCTACCGAGAGTATTTGATATGCCAAACACAGTAACAACAAAGTATCCAATGGAGACGTTACTGGGCCCGAGCAAATCCACGATCAACGATCAACGGGAGGGCCTGTACCTTTTACCTTTACCTTTATTTATTTTTGTTTTTTTGGTCACACCCGGCGATGCTCAGGGGGTACTCCTGGCTCTGCACTTAGGAATCACTTCTGGCCGTGCTCAGGGGACCATATGGGATGCTGGGAATCGAACCTGGGTTGGCCATGTGCAAGGCAAACACCCTATCGACTGTGCTATCGCTCCAGCCCCCAATCCTTGATCTTAAATCAGATATGAGAGACTTGGCAGATCTCATCAGCTTCCCCCCCACCCCGACCCTCACCCTGGTTCCACCTGACAGTTGTATGGGTCTGTCCACAGCATGCACGGGAGACACCCCAGATGCCGATGCTGTCAACTTCCTGCGCTGGGACCTGAACGCGAAACAGATCGGGGAGCTCACTGAGCAGCTCATCGAGCAGACCAAGCGCGTGTATGACCAGGTGGGCGCCCAGCACAGGGAGGATGTGTCCTACGAGAGCACGTTGAAGGCGCTGGCTGACGTGGAAGTGGCCTACACAGGTAACGCCAGGCCTCGAGTACGAGTATGTGTGCGTGTGTATGTGTGTGTGTGTGCGTGTGTGTGTGTGTGTGTGTGTGTGTGTGTGTGTGTGTGACCGTCAGTCCTAGGGGCTCTGGTGGAGCAGGGGTGTCTGGCAGATGCCTATATGTCCCCTCTTCCACTTGGTTTCTGCCAGGGTCAGCCCTTGGGTCTTAGTGGGCTGAGCACCCAGCTGGGACTGTGTTTGATGGCAGGGAGCAACTCCCAGTGATTGATTCATGTTTACTTTTCTCTGAGCCCCCAGCCTGACCTCTGCTCCCTGAATTTTCCTGTGTGCTTGACTGAGTGTATACCACAGATATGCCCCTGGAAGGACTAAGCCAGGCTTCTGTGAGACGCTGGGTTCCTCCCTGGCAAAACACACATAACACACACACACACACACACACACACACACACACGCCCCTCTCCAGCAGCTCTTGGTAGCTGTACTCCTGGGTCTGTGCTCAGGGATCAACACACATAGCACACACACGCACACACACCCTCTCTAGCAGCTCTTGCTAGCTGTACTCCTGGCTCTGTGCTCAGGGATCACTCCCAGCTTGGGATGCTGGGAAGTGAACCCGGGTCAGCTGTGTTCAAGGCAAATACCCTCCCTGCTGTACTATATCTCCAGCCTGACCCCAGGCAGAAAGAGATTTTTTTGGCGTTTTGGATCACACCTGATGATACTAAAGGGTTACGACTGGCTCTGTGCTCAGGAATTATTCCTGGCAGTGTTTGGGAGATCCTGTGGGATGCTGGGGATCGAACCCGGGTTGGCTGCATGAAAAGCCAACGCCCTACCTGCTGTGCTATCGTTCTAGCTCCAGAAAAGTGATTTTGCAGAAATCCTGGATTCCGACTGTGGGGTCTCCTGTGCTCCTGAGGCATCTGGGGCGGGTTTGGGGACCCTGTCCTCCCTCCCTTACTTCCTCCCAACACCAGGAGAACTGCAGGAGTGGGGGCAGGGAGGCACTTTGCTCCCTGGCTTGGGGGGAAGGCTGAGGGTTCCACAGCCTGCCCCTCGCTCCCACAGCCTTTCCTTTTCTCAGTTCTCAAGAACGAGGAGGACAGGAAGTCTGGCCAGCCTCCTGCCTGAGCTTCTGAGGTCTGGAGCCCTTCTCTGCCTCCTCTCCCAGCCCCTCGCTCTTTGTGGCCTCAGTCTCGGTAGCTCCCACTGACCGCAGGTCACTGCCCTGGTACTGCCCATTTGTTAGCCCTAATGGGCACACTGCCTCTGTCTTCCCCTGTGGGCAGCCGGCATGTGCTGACTCAGCGGGCTGTGCTACTTCCGGTCAGCGCCCTGCAGAGGTCAGCAGGGGTGGCTGACCCCTGGCACGGGGACGCTTCAGTCACCCAGCCAGGGACCGCGAGCTCTGCCATTTGAACACTGGCCTCCTGGGTGCAAAGCCTGCACCTCAGCATTGAGCTGCTGTGGCATGCGTGGCCCGCGGTGGAGTCTGACCCACCCAAAAATCAAGCCCTTGAGATCAGTGGTTGGTACCTCCACTGTGCTCCACACCCATCGCCACAGTCTGATTTCAGAACATTCCGTGATCTCAAACACAAGCTCTGCCCCCATGCACTCGCTTCTTGCCTGTGGACGGACCTGTTTGTTCAAGGTTTTCTCATTCCTGGGATCTCTCCAACGAAGGGGCCAGCGCAAGTGGGGTGGGGGAGGTCTGGTTCTTGGGTCGTCCTGTGCTCAGGGGCGCCCACGTGGTGCATGTGTCAAAGCTTCCTGCCCGTCAAGGTGTCTCATGGGAGGACACATGACATAAGTCAGTGGGCCTCTGGTCCTCATGCACGCAGCTTCTGTGGGGCCATGCCAGGAAAGTGGGTGACTCAGGTTAAAGCTTCCACTACCTGGGGCTGAGGAGTAAGACAGTGTGGGGAGGGCATTTGCTCTGCACACAAATTAACCCAGGTTTGAGCCGTGCATCCCGTAGGGTCCCCCACCCTATCCCCCGAGCCGTCCCAGAGTGACCCCTGAGTGCAGAGCCAGGAGTCAGCTCTGAGCACTGCTGGGGGTGGCCCCTGGAGCTGCTGTGGCCCAGGTGCTCTTTTGGGCACTGTGTCCCTTTGCCCCTCTGGGTTGTGTCACGCTTCCCGACCCCCAACCCGGCTTGGCCAGGAGGAGTGAGTCGGGTTGGCCTGATGGCAACGCTCCCTTCTGTCTCAACGTCTTGGGGTGACAGTGGTCACTGGACGAGTCCCTCAGCACAGCTGTGGGCATGCCTGGGCCCCGTGGCCTCACTGTGCCCTTGTCTCCCTGCTCCAGTCCAGAGGAACATTCTGGACTTCCCCCAGCATGTGTCTCCGTCCAAGGACATTCGGACGGCCAGCACCGAAGCGGACAAGAAGCTGTCAGAGTTTGACGTGGAGATGAGCATGAGGCAGGATGTATACCAGAGGATTGTTTGGCTGCAGGTGAGGAGCTCTGGCAGCCTGGAGGTGAGGGGGTCTCCAGGACCCCCCACAATCCCTCCTCAGAGCCAACGAGTGGAAAAGGAGGGGGTGCTTGTGGGTGGAGTCCCATGGACTGACACCCCTGGGTTGTGTGCTTAGAGCTGGGGCAGCTGACATGGGCGGGCATGGCTCTCTTACTGCCCTGACACAGGAACTCCATGTGGCCAGTGCCAGGGCCCCCGAGAGAGGAGGCTCTGTCCGTCCCCCTCCTCCCCCCACTTCCCGTGACAGGGGATGGGTTGCTGTCAGCTGGCGCAGAGCCACGGGCTCATGTTTCTGGGACAGGTGGGGCCTCTCCTGGCTGCTCCTGTTGGGGTGTCTGCAGGTGCATGGGGGCCTAAGGGGGTGATCTTTGTGCGTATGGAGGGTGTTTCTCTGCCCAGTTCTTGGTGGTGTCCTCAGAACAGGGGTCGGTCTCTATGCGGGTCACCTGGGGGCCTGCTGGGTGCGTTGGGGTGCCCATGTGTTGGTTCGGACCCATCTCTGGGGCAGGGCAGCTCAGTGGTGTTCGTACCACTTGTCCACATTGGCAGGGTCTGGAGGGTGGGCAGTGGGCGGCGGGCAGGAAACCCAGCTCCCCTCCCTGCAGAGTGCCCCGGGACCCGTCTCCCGCTGCCCTCTGCGACCTTTGGTCTGTGTGGATGGAACATCTAGGAGAAGACCCCCAAGGACTCCCTGAGACCCGAGGCCATGCGGTACTTGGAGCGGCTGATCAAGCTGGGCCGGAGGAATGGGCTCCACCTGCCTGAGGAGACCCAGGAGGTGCGTGGGGAGGGGGGGAGGATGGACAGACACGGGGTCCCCAGAGCACCTGCACCCCATCTGAGCACTTTGCTCGCCCATTTCTCATTCTTCTGCTGCCTGGTTTTGGGGTGCAGGGACATAGGGGCCCCTGGGAGGTGGTGTCTCAATGTGAGGGTGAGCCCCTCTCCTCCTGGTCTTCCTATCTTGCGCCTATCAGAAGGTTCTGGGCAGGAGCAGCTGCTATAGACACCCAGGAGACCCGGGGCCCCTGTCGCACCACTGGCCCTCTGGGACAGGGGTCACAGAGCTGTCCCTTCATGTCAACCCCGCCCCCTGACACAGGTCTGTTTTCGGCTCCCCACTGGCAGGGTTGAGATTTTCCCAGGCAACACGCCTGGCAGTGCTTGTTGGATGGCCCATGTGGTTCCTTGCTCTGGTCTCCAGGCCTCACCCCCAGGTGCTTAGGGCACCAACAAACACAGTGTTGGTCTTAAAACCCAGGGCCCGGCATGGGCTTCTGACTGCTGAGCGCTCTCTCTGGCACTAATCTGGAAGCCGGAGGTGGCTGCGGGTGGGGTGAGGGTCTGGGAAACTCTGGGCAGACTGTACCGGGTGGCCCTATGGTGTGGGCTGGGCTCCACTCCCCTCCCTCTGCTAGCTCTGACCTCCCTTGCTCCGGAACCTACTCCCCCCCAGCCCTGTGGGCATCCCTGGTTACTCCCCTCCATGGCCCCTTCACACGGCCCATTTCTCCTGCAGAAAATCAAGAGCATCAAGAAGAAACTGAGTCTCCTCTGCATCGACTTCAACAAAAACCTGAACGAGGACACTACGTTCCTGCCCTTCACCCGCGAAGAGCTAGGTGCGGGTCTGGGTGTAGGGTGGGCGGGGGAGAGGGGGCGGGCTGGAGGCCCCAAGAGCTGGGGGGCGGGGTGCGGAGGAGCTTGGCAGGTGTTTGGGGCTTCAGGTTCCAGGAACGCACATATGCCGGGTGGGGGCTGATGACCTGGGGGAAGCCTGTTGGTGGTTTCCAATGTCTGAACCTTCAAAAGTCATAGACAGGGCCCGGGATAAGGTCTTGCCCAGCGCTGTGTACGGTCCCCTAAGCGCTGCCCCAACCAGCCACCCCTCATGCAGACAAAATCTAGGGTGTCTTCCTGCCAGGGTTGTGGGTGCAAGGCCCCTGTGTGCATGCCCACCCCCTGTGAGTGTAGCCCAGGATGGTAGAGTTGCCCCTATTTTTTTTTTAAAGTTTAGGTTTTTTTTAATTTTAACTTTTTTAAATTATTTTTTTATTTATTGAATCACTGTGAGAACAGTCACAAATTCTTTCAGTTTAAGTCTCGGTCGGTCATGCAATGACCAAATACCCTGTCCCTTCACCAGTGCACATTTTCCACCATCAAGAACCCCAGTATACCCCCCTCCCACCCATGCCCCAGCTGTGTGGCAGATTTTTACTTAACTCTCTCTGCGTTGATCACATTCAATATTACGACAAGAGACCCCCACATTATTATTTGGAATTTTCCCCAACATTCAGACCTGCCAAAAAAGACATCATTAGATAATTTGTTTTCTGTTGCTGATTATGACGAACATATGATGCGGCCACACGAATTTGGATTTCTGATATTTTAGTAATAAGCCTAATCTTTTAAATTATTTTTTAATTAATTTATTTTGTTTTTTGGGTCACACCCAGTGATGCTCAGGGGTTACTCCTGGCTCTGCACTCAGGAATTACTCCTGGCAATGCGAGGGGACCATATGAGATGCTGGGAATCGAACCCGGGTTGGCCGAATGCAAGGCTCTGGCCCCTCTCAGCTCACTTCTTTTTTTTTGCTTTTTGGGGTCACACCCGGCAGTGCACAGGGGTTCCTCCTGGCTCTTCACTCAGGAATTACCCCTGGCGGTGCTCAGGGGACCATATGGGATTCTGGGAATCGAACCCCAATTGGCCGCATGCAAGGCAAACTCCCTACCCGCTGTGCTTTCGCTCCAGCCCCTCTCTGCTCACTTTTGAGGAAGGTTTCAGGGCTCCAACTCCCTATTCATTTTTATTTCTTCCCCACCCCCAATTTTGGGTCATACCTTGCCTTGCACATGGCCGACCTGGCCGACCTCGTTTGGATTCCTCCACCCCTCTCGGAGAGCCCGGCAAGCTACGGAGAGTATCCTGCCCGCACGGCAGAGCCTGGCAAGCTCCCCGTGACGTATTCGATATGCCAAACACAGTAACAACAAAGTCTCCAATGGAGACGTTACTGGGCCCGCTCGAGCAAATAGATGAACAACGGGAGGACAGCGCTACAGTGCAGTGCTAGTAATAAGCCTAGAGAAGTTGCCCTGTTGATGGCTCCCTGCCTCCTGCGCTGGACGGAGCCCCCCAACACCATGAGGGGTGCCTCTGGGCCTCCCCATGTAGCTGGAGCATGTGCTTGTGCTCTCAGCCAGGGGCAACCACTTATTCTTTCCGCTTTGCCTGGGCACAGGCCTGGCAGCTGGGCAGTCCCTTAGAAGCCCCTCATTTCGTTCGTTCATCTAGGGGGTCTCCCGGACGACTTTCTGAACTCATTGGAGAAGACGGAAGACGAGAAGCTAAAGGTCACGCTCAAATACCCGCATTACTTTCCCCTTCTGAAGAAATGCCACGTGCCTGAGACCCGTAGAAAGGTGGAGGCGGCTTTCAACTGTCGCTGCAAGGAGGTGTGTGGGGTGGGGGGCACCTTCCCAGCATGCAGCGTGAGTGCCGGGCCATGCACCAGCGGCCTGAGACCTGGGCCAAGTGCTGGCAGCATCTGGGGGCTGCTGTGCCAGGTCCTGCCCTATGGGGCGCCGCCTGGGCTTGTTTTTTGGTTCTGGGCGACACCTGAAGATGCTCAGGACTCACTCCTGGAAGGGACCCTTTGGGGTGCCAGAAGTCCCACCCAGATCTGTCGTGCACAACAAACGCCCTGCCTGCTGTACTATTGCTCCGGCCCAGACAAGTCTGTTTTTTGTTTTGTTTTGTTTTTCGGAGTGTCCACATGCAGCAGTGCTCAGGGATCACTACTGGGTTCCGGGGACCCTATGGGGTGCCGGGGGTTGAACCCAGGTTAGCCATGTGCAAGGTAGGCGTCTCTCCCACTCGCAGTTGCTGTCGCTTCGGCTCCTGAGTCGGGGGCACAGCCTCTGCTGGGCCTTCCCCATGCTTTTCGTGCACGCCTGGAACGTTGGGGCTCACAACCCTTCATTGGGGGCCTCAGAGTGTCCCCCGCTCTCCCGTGAAGGCGGGAGCAAGTGGGAGGGTGGTGGCCACAGGAAGCAGGCCAGGAGGGAAGCCTGACGTGGCTCGTTGGGTCTTTCTGCCCTCTTAGAGCTGCTGAGTCTGTGGTGGAGGTGGGGTGACGTAGGCTGGGCACCCCAGGAGGGGAGGAAAAGGGAGAGCGGGGCGTCTGCACCCAAGCCACTCTCTGTCTGCCAGGAGAACTGCGCCATCCTCCGGGAGCTGGTGGCCCTGCGGGCACAGAAGAGCAGCCTGCTGGGCTTCCGTACTCACGCCGATTATGTGCTGGAGATGAACATGGCTCAGAATGGCCAGGCCGTGGCGACTTTCCTTGGTAACCCGGGCTTGGGGACAGGCTCAGGGTGGGGGGGCTCCTCTGCCCGTGTCCCACTCAGTTCCACCCCGGGGTCCCTCTCCTGAGGGTCTGGGTGAGGTCCAGGTTGGCGGGGGAGGCTCAGCCTGCAGATGGGCCCGAGGGGAGGGTCCCTGGTTTGGTGCGCGAGGGGACTCGGGAGGCCTCCTGCAGGACCTTGTGACCCTCCCACCTTGGCCCCCCGCCCCCAGATGAGCTGGCCCAGAAGCTGATGCCCCTGGGGGAGCAGGAGCGGGCGGTGATCCTGGAGCTGAAGAAGGCCGAGTGCGAGCAGCGGGGCCTGCCCTTCGACGGGCGCGTCAATGCCTGGGACATGCGCTACTACATGAACCGCGTGGAGGAGACGCGCTACCACGTGGACCAGAACCTGCTCAAGGAGTATTTCCCCATGGAGGTGGTCACCCGCGGGCTGCTGGGCATCTACCAGGAGCTGCTGGGCCTCACCTTCCACCTGGAGCCCGACGCGGCCGTGTGGCACGAAGACGTGCGCCTCTACTGCGTGCGGGACGCCGCCTCGGGCGCGGTGATCGGCAAGTTCTACCTGGACCTCTACCCACGGTGCGTGCCCAGCACGCCGGGCAGGGCTGGCGGGGGGGGGGGGGGGTGGGAGGGCCGGATGTGGCACAGCGGGGACCCTGAGCCTGTCTTCCCCACCTCGATCCCTGCTTCCCAGGGAAGGGAAATATGGCCACGCCGCCTGCTTTGGCCTGCAGCCCGGCTGCCTGCGGCCCGATGGCAGCCGCCAGATTGCCATTGCCGCCATGGTCGCCAACTTCACCAAGCCCACCCCCGACGCGCCCTCACTGCTGCAGCATGACGAGGTGGAGACCTACTTCCATGAGTTTGGTCACGTGATGCATCAGCTCTGCTCGCAGGTGGGCCAGCCAGGACCCCCTACCAGGACCCCCCCACCCGCCCCCAGGACCATCCCCTTGAAGGCCCACTGGATCTAGGCCTTTCTGAGGGTGCATGTCAACTCCATTTTTTTTTGGGGGGGGTCACTCTGGGTGATGCTTAGGACTGACTCTTGGCTCTATGCTTGGGAATCACTCCTAATGGGGTTCGGGGGACCCTAAGGGGTGCCAGGGATCAAACTTGGGTCAGCCACATACAAGGCAAGTGCCCTCCCCGCTGTGCTGTTGTCCCGCCCTGTCATGCCTCTTTTATGCCAGTCAGGGCCCGTGACCCCCTCCTACAGAGCTCTTGGGAAGGTTCAGTGATCCCCGGAATGAGGCGCCTCGAGGTCCCCGCCTTGTCGCTCTTGTTGCCCACGGGATATGCTGAAAGTCAGGGAGGGGAGGGGAGTGGGGTTGCCATTCTCAGTGCCCCCCCCCCCCAACTGGCCCAGGTGTTCCGGGGCAGGTACAGCAAGGTCCGAGTGCCTCTGGGTTCCCCCGTGTCCCACTGCAGGCAGAGTTCGCCATGTTCAGCGGGACGCATGTGGAGCGGGACTTCGTGGAGGCACCGTCGCAGATGCTGGAGAACTGGGTGTGGGAGCCGGAGCCGCTGCTGCGCATGTCCCAGCACTACCGGCGGGGCAGCCCCATTCCCCAGGAGCTGCTGGACAAGCTCATCAAGTCGCGGCAGGCCAACACTGGTGCGCCCCGCTCTGCTTCCCGGGCCTGCTCCCCACCCCCCCACCCGCCCCCCCTCGGCCAACCGCCCCCTCCCCCCTCGCCCCACAGGGCTCTTCAACCTGCGCCAGATCGTGCTGGCCAAGGTGGACCAGGCCCTGCACACGCAGACGGATGCCGACCCGGCCGAGGAGTACGCCCGCCTCTGCCAGGACATCCTGGGGGTCCCTGCCACGCCAGGTAGCTATGTGGAGCTGGGACCCCAGAGAGGGCGGGGCAGAGGGTCAGGTCGAACAGGGTGAAGGCGCTGACCCTCCTCCAGTAGAACAGGCTGGGGGGCGGGGTAAGAGAGGAGCCCTTCAGTGAGGTCAGAAAAGGACCTGAGAGGGGACCCTGGGGGAGTTGGGGTGTCGGCCAGTGGTGTGGTCAGAACAGGCTCAGGGGGCAGGGCTAAGCCCTGATTTTCCCTGGTCTGGATGGGCAGTGGGTAACGTGGGGTCTCCTGCCCTGGGCTTCATCCTGCCTCCTCCTGCCCCTCCTGTCTTCTAGAAGCCTCAGGCCAGTTCCCTCTCCGGGGGGGTGGGGGTGCAGGTGGCCGACAGGGATGCTCTGAGGCCCCTTGAGAGCCCCGGGCCGAGTCTGAGTCTGGCCCTTGTTGTGTCCCAGGGACCAACATGCCCGCCACCTTTGGGCACCTGGCGGGTGGCTACGACGCGCAGTACTACGGCTACCTGTGGAGCGAAGTCTTCTCCACGGACATGTTCCACACGCGCTTCAAGGCCGAGGGCGTGCTCAACGGCAAGGTGAGCGGGGCCGGCAGGCCGCTGGGTGGGCGGCTGGGAGTTGGCCCCCAGGCCGGCCTCAGCGGCAGCCCCGATCCCTCGTGCTTGCCCGCAGGTCGGCATGGATTACCGCAGCTGCATCCTGCGGCCCGGCGGCTCCCAGGACGCCAGCGCCATGCTGAAGCTCTTCTTGGGCCGCGAGCCCACGCAGGACGCCTTCCTCCTGAGCAAGGGGCTGCGGGTGGACGGCAGCCAGCCGGCAGCCTGCTGACGCCCGCTCAGCCTGGGGCAACTGGGCGGGGCTCCCTGTCTCCCCCCACCACACTGAGGTGCTGGAGTGGCGGGGGCACAGGTCTTGCCCTCCCGGTGAGGGAGGGTCGGGCTGGGGCTGGGCCGCCCGGCACTATCTTTGTTGCACTAACTAAGCTGCTTGCGGGAAGTTGTCCCGGTGCAGAGACTGGGCACCTTCTTTGCAACGTGGCATTAAAAACCCCAGCTCAGCGCCTGACTCCTCAGTGCTCTTCCGCCCTCCATCAGGGTCAGTTCTGGCTGGGGCCACCAGCCGGGGTTCATGCTCTTGCTGCACTAGAACCTTCTGCTGCTCTCAGTGAGTTCCACTCCCTGGAGCTCTTATGGCCCAGACCTCAGGCCTGCAAGTATCAGTCCTGTACGGATCTAGAATGTTCCACTCCCCTAGACAACTTCCCCCTGGCCCCTCCCCCCCGCCACCACCACCAGCATCAGCCACTACTCTGTCCCCAGCCCTGGTTTAGCGGGATTGGGGTGGGGGTAACATGCCCCAAGGGCTGTGACTCCCTCCTGGGGCCTTATTCTCCTCGGGTGCTCAGTGATGCTTGGGTGGTGGGGAGACCAGGAGTGCCCCTCTAACTGGGAGGGTGGGGGGCCTCTCTCTCCCCTTTGTGGGGTCTGCACAGCCCAGCGAGCTGTTTCTTTGACCTACCTTTGCATTGTGCTCTCCTTGCCCCTTTTTTGTGGGGGACGGGGTGGTCAGGAAATTGGGCCATACCCACCTGTGCTCAGGATCTGTTCCCGGCTCTGTTCAAGGGTCAATCCTGGCCGAGCTTCGGGAACCCTCGGTGGTGTCAGGGCTCAAAGCAGGATTGGCCTAATGCTTGGCAAACCTGGCAGATCTCTCTTCAGTCTCCCTTGACCTTGTTCCCCCAAATCCCAGCGCTGCTTCTGAGGCCCAGGCTGTGTCCATGTTCCCCCTCAACCCATACCTGCTCATCTCAGCTGCGGGGTGCCCTGGTGCAGACTTGGTTCCTAAACTCTGGGTCCAGGGCTCAGTGTCCTCTCGTCCAGTGGGGTCGGGGGATTGCAGAAAGAGGGGGTGGGGATGGGATCCCAGATGCCTGAGGCTTGGGGCTCACCTAGGAGTACTGGTCCCTCCCCACATTCTCAGACCACACCCCAGTTCTCTCCCAGCCTGGCCTCTGAGGCCCCTTACCCCCAGAGACCAGCATTATGGGTTCTGGGGGGTGATGGACATCACCACAGCTGGAAGGTCACTGGTGGGTGCGATGGGGCGGCCGGTGTCCCCTAGGATCAGTTCTTGGCCCCGAGAAAGTGGGTGTTTCTGGTACCCAGGGGTTGGGGGGCGTGTGGGCCAGGGGGCACCCCCTGTACCCTTAGAGAAGGTGAAGTTCCAACCTAGCGCATGCGGGGCTAGTGTGAGGCAGTTTTGATCGTTGGTTGTCATCCATGTCGCAGGCCGGAGGGTCCCAACTCTCCCTTCCTCCACTCCCCCTCTCTCCACCCCCCCTCATCCCTCCACCCCGAATGAATACCAGGGCTGCCTGTGGAAGAGGGCTCCGAGCTGGTTAGGAGTGGGTACTGATCCAGCCTGAATCGGGTTCAGGTGTCAGACTGACCAGTGAGGGGTGTGGGGGGCAGCTGTGTGCCCTGATGGCTTCCTCAGTGACGTGGTGCCTTGACCCTGGCCAGTGGGGGATGGGGGGCTCCTGTGGTGGCCATCAAGCCCCTAGACTCAGTCCCAGGGACCGCAGGCTTGAGTATTTTTTGGGTCCCTGAATCCTGTGCCCTGAGCATCACTCATGCCGTTTCCTGCACTTTGTCCAGAATGTTCCTGCAGGTGTGGCCCCATCCCTCCTCTCTCCCAGAGGGCCACCCACTAGGTAGGGGACTAAAAGGATTTCCTCTAGGTCTGTTTTTGTTTTTTTGGCCACACTCCAGTGGTGTGCAGGGCTGACTCTTGGCTGTGTGCTCAGGGGTCGCTCTGGGCCATGCTCAGGGGACCCTGTGTGGTATCCAGATTCAAACCCAGGGTTGGCCATGTGCAAGGCAGGCTCCTCAGCCTGTACTATTTCTCTGCCCCATTTTTTTTTTAAGGGCCTACTCCTCTTGGTGGCGGGGGGTCAGGTGTGCACCCAGCAGTGCCTGGGAACCTCTGCAGGCTGGGGGTTGAATTAGGTTTTGAGGCCCACAGTCCATCAAGTGGTCACGGTCTCTGGCCCCACATTGAAATTTAGTTTTGGGGCCACACACGGCAGCGATCAGGGCTGAATCCTGACTCTGCAATCAGGGCTCCTGGCAGGTCTCTGGGGTGCCATTGGGGTGCTGGGGATTGAACCCTGGCTGGCCTTGTGCAAGGCCAGCACTCCCTGCTGTATCATCGCTTCGGCCCCAGAAGCATTAAAGTTTTGAAGCCAGCACTTCTGTGGCATCGAATTCCTTGACTTGTGTGAAACTATCTTGTCTTCATTACTCTCAACTGGAGGGGCCTGTTCTGGATGTTTCCATCCTTGGGGTCCTACCTGGGGGACCTGAGTGTCCTGGGTATATCCATGTGGTATGGGGCATCCCAGGTTGGGGTGATGGCGGTGTGTTTGTTCATCTGTGAGATACACTTGGGCTGCCTCCTCCCTTTGTTGGTTTTGATTTAGGGCCACATGGCGGTGCTCAGGCTGACTCCTGGCTCTGTGCTCAGGGGTCACTCCTGGCGGGACTCGGGAAACTATGGGGGTGCCAAAACTCGGGTTAGTCACGTGCAAGGCCAGAGCCTCATCCTGTCATATCTCCTCACCCCCTTGGGTCCAGCCTTAAGACTCCTGGCCGCTGTGCTGCTGTGAACGTTTGTGGACGAGAATTTGAGTTCCAGTTTTAACTGAGCAAATCTTAAAATTGTCCTTTGGGGCCCAGGGAGATATCAAAGGGCTGGAGAGTGCCTGTGAACGCATGGCCCCCATATTGGTTGGAGGGACTCCAACAATAAAAGGAGTGGCCCTTTCATTGAATTTGCTGATGGCGTTTTTCAGAATTTTGCTGCTCTTGGGGTCGAAGCCATAGGACAGAGAGGAGGGTGCTCGCCAATTGGGTTCAATCCCCAGCATTCCACAGGGCCCCTGAGCCCTCCCAGGAGTGATCCTTGAGTAAGAACTGAGGTGCCAGAGATGGTTCAAGAGCTAAAGTGATGACCTTGCACACAGCTGACCTGGGTTCTATCCTTTGTACAATGTAGGATCTCCGGTGCCCCACCAGGGGTGATCTCTGAGCACCATGGGGTGTGGTGTGCCCTCCTCCCCCCGCCCCCTGCCCCATGCAGTTGTGATTTAGAACAGCCCATTTGTACTACGCAGCCCACACCAGAGCCCACTGCCTCCTATGCCCCCTGAGCACCTGGTGGTCCCCAGCAAACAGCCAGAGCAGCCCAGAACCAAAACCTCCATATGGGTTGGTTATCACCGGAAGTGGCGCCCCCAGAGCACTGCATGGAGCTCTCCTTCCAGGTCCCTCCAAAACAAAACCAGGAAAAAAAGATCACCCAAGTGATTCTTAACTACAACCCTGAAAGGGTTTATTTTTATTTTTTTTTGCTTCTGGGCTACACCCAGTGATGCTGAGGGGTTACTCCTGACTACTCGGGAACCACTCCTGACAGGGCTTAGGGGATGCTTGGGGGATCCCATATGGGATGCTGGGGGTTGAACCCTGGTCTGCCATGTGTAAGGCAAAGGGCCCTTCACAATGCTGTTGCTGTGGCCGAGAAAGTAGTTCAAAATCAAGGCTGGGCCCTTGAACCCCAGATCCTCTTTAGCCTGGGACCTCCCCACATCCCACCTGCACAGTTCCTTCAGCACATGGGAGATGTGTCCCCATGCCCGGAATTAGGACATGCATCTCATTCAGGGCCTGTTCACTCTGACCCACACCCAGCTTTTTGAAGTGTGTGTGTGTGTGTGTGTGTGTGTGTCCCTTAAGAGACGCAGCAAAGCATGTTTCTCATCTGCCAGCGATTCCCCATTGGGCTTTGCAGACCGGAAGACCTGAGGCTTTGGGACAGGATGGGGGGGCTGTGGAGGGGCGAAGGGATTGGCACCCTGAGTTACCACGTTTGAGAAAGTCTGCTCTGGTCTTCAAACACCACCCGCTGTCATCACGGAATGTGATGCCCTCTTGTGGCCATGAAGGGTGGTGTAAAACCAGCCTTCTCTCTTTCCCTCTTCCTCTCTCTCCCTCCCTCTCTTTCCCTTCTACCTCTCTGACTCCCGCCTCCTGAACTCCCTCCCTCCCTTTCTGCCCCCTCTCCCTGGGGCAGAACCCCGGGGACTCAGGTTTACTCCCAGCACATGAGCCAACCTGGTTGGGTGATTCAGTGCTTGGAACCTAGCAACGGCAGGGCTGCTTGACCCACGTGTTGCCGGGGGTGTGATGTGGTGCCAGAACGCTGGTTCATGTGCACATCTGTTCTCGAACTCTGCTCTGGCCTGCGTACACCTTGGCAAGCACAGAGGAGCGGTCACACCAGGATCCAGTGTTCAGATGATTTATAGCTTTCAGAAGGTTTTTTTTTTTTTTAAATTTTTCAGTTTGGGGCCATACCTGGCAGTGCTCAGGACTTACTCCTAGCCCTGTGCTGAGAGATTACTTCTGGCAGGCTCCAGAGACCCTATGGGGACCTATGGGGTGCAAGGCTAACACCCTCTTCACTTGTCCTATTGTTCTAAGTCCTTAAGAGCATTTTAAGGGTCAGAGAGATAGTCCAGAAGGATGATGCAGTTGGCTTGTGAGCAGGCTGACCCCAACTAGTCCCCCGCAATGCATGTGGTACTTAAGAATGATGCCCCTGAATGCAGAGCCAAGGAAAGACCCCGAGCACTGCAGGTTGAGGTCCAACCCCCCCAAAGAATCTCAAAATATTTATTTTTTCTTTTGTATTTTGGGCCACACCTGGCAATGCTCAGGGATTACTCCTGATTCTGCTCTTAGGAATCACTCCTGGTGGTGCTTGGGGGAACATATGGAACGTGAGGGATCAAATCCGAGTCTGCGGCATGCAAGGAAAGCGCCCTATCCGCTGTACCGTCAAAATATTTGATTTCTAAAATTAGTGGGGGTTTGTGATCACCCCCCCCCACCCCCGGTGATGCTTGAGTGTGGGGAAGCATGTGGTAGAGAGATGAAACTAGGGATGGGCTTCCCCCATCCCTAGTCCTAATATTTGATATTTCAGAGGTTTATTAATTTAGTGAACAAATGACCTTTTTTTTTTAATGTGCGGGGGAGGTGGCGGGGTACACGTGACACCCAGCAGAGCTCAGGGCTTACTTCTGACTCTGTTCAGGGATCACTCCTGGAGGGGATGAGTGAGCACCATATAGGGTACTGGGGATGGACCCCGGGTTAGCCGCCTGAAGCCAAAGACCCCTTCCCTGTTGTCCTGTGCTCTGGCCCCAGCAAGCTTATGTAAAAAGGGCACAGGTGCACTGCGACCAGGACCCAGCCGACCCCTAACCCCAGAGGCCAGACCACTCTCCAGTCCCCGTCCTCTCCTGCTTTGTCCTGTCTCTTGTCTACGCCGGAGGAGCTCCGGGAAGAAAATGGGTCTGACCTGTCCCATCCAGGAGCGGGACTAAGGCAGTCCAGGTGCGACCCTGGTGGGCTCCGAGCCCTGGAGAGAGAGTGAGGGCAGGAACAGACAGGTCCAAATCCCACTGAAGCCGAAAAACCCACACTTCCGCCCGGCGTGGCCGTCCCCCTCCGCCTGCCAATTATGCAGGGGCGGTGCATCTGCGTAAACTGCCCAATCAGAGGAGCCCGACGCGCAACACTCAAATCAGCTCCGAGGACTATCCAATCAATGACTCTTCAGGGGCGGGGTTAAGGGCTTCGACCAATCAGCGGGGCAGGGACGTCGCGGGGAAACTCGCGTGGACCCAGCTCTCGCGGGGCAAGTCTCCAGCGCGCGTCGGCCGCTTTACAGCCTCAGGTGTTGGTGGGGGGGTTGGTCCCGTTGTCTCAGCTACTCAGATCGGTGGGTGGGCGCCCGCGAAAATAAACCACCACGAAACCAGAGATGGTGAGTGCTCTGAGCCCTGGATGGCTGGAGGGTCCCCTGGGGTCTGCCCTGTTCGCTTTGGGACGGTGGGGGCGGGGGCTTCTCAGGGGGGTCCTGACCAGGGTCTGCACGATCAGGGCATGCCCCGGCTCTTAGCATCACTTTGGCGCGGGAAGGGCGGACCCAGATGTTCGCCGCTGCCCTCCGAGGATCCGCCACCGGCTGCCCCACCTCAAGGGTCACGCCCCCGGGCCCTCAGCTTGTCACTCCCTGCAGCGATGTTGGGGATCGGGGATGGAGGGGTGCAGTCAGGAGTGACTCCTTGCACCCCGGGGTTCCCACAGTGCAGGAGAAAGGGGAGGCCAAGGGATGGGAGCGCCCCGCGGCGCGGTGGGGCCGCAGCCTGCAAAGCCGCGGGGCCGGGGACAAGGGGACACGCGGGGACCGCGGTCCTTTGTTCGGGGAGCGGGTCGTTCCTGCGGGCTTGGCCGCCCCTCACCTGCCTTATCCAGGCCTGATGGCCTCATTCTGGCCTGCAGCGTCCTCAACTCGGTTGGCCCCGAGTAGGAGCCCCTCGAATTCCTAGAGACATAAGAGAAATTCTTCCCAAAGGGATCTTTCTGCAAAATGGGGAAGAAAAAAACCCTCACAGCCTAATCGGCATCGATTTGGGCTAGTTTTTTCGGGGGGGGGGCGCACCTGCAGGTGCTCAGGGCTGAATCCTGACTCAGTGACCAGGGAGTCACTGCTGGAGGGATTTGGGAGTGAGGCTGGGGACCCAACTGGGATGGGCTGAGTGCAAATCCAGCACCTTGTTCTTCAAATGGTTGGAGACATTTATGCTTCCTGTGAGGTTTTTTAAATTAGTATTTGCCAAATCCTTTATTTTATTTTTTTTGGGGGGGGGCACAACTGGCACTCAGGGTTTACTCTTGGCTCTGCACTCAGGAATCACTCCTGGCATTGCTCCGGGGACCATATGGGGTTCCAGGGATTGGACTCAGTCAGTGCATGCAAGGCAAACGCCCTCCCTGCTGTAGTATTTGCCAAATCTTAACAACAACAAAAGATGCTGGTTTGGGGATTAAAGGAGTAGTTTTTTTTGTTTTTCTTTTTTTGGCTACACACAATTGTGCTCCAGGCTGACTCCTGGCACTACACTCAGGGATCACTCCAGGGACCCTATATGGTGCCAGGGATTGAACCCTGGTCAGCTGAGTTCAAGGCAAGTGCCCCACCTGGCCCTCACTACCTCTTCTATCATTCCGGCCCCGGGTTCCTGATTTTCTACAGGCTAAGTACTAGGCTCGGACTGCAAAGACTGTTATTTTTCCTTTTGTTTTTTTTTTTGGGGGGGAGTGCCACACTTTGCAGTGCTCAGGACTTATTCCCTCCAACTATGTGTTGGGAGCTCAGGGGACGTGATAGGGTGTCGGGGATCGAACCTGGGTAATCTGCATGCAAGGAAATGCTCTTCCTGCTGTGCTCTCTCTCAGGCGCATCGTACTCACCACCTTGCCTGGGTTTGACCTGGTGCTTCTTGGAGGTGTGAATAATGAGTGAAGGTGCTGAAAGGGTTTGGGGCACACAGGGCTGGGCAGTCATCAGATGCAAATATTTGCATAATTCTTGCTCTGGTTTCCCAAATGTGGCCTGAACTCAGATTAGAGAAGAGCCAGACCTTGCTACATCGATAGTACAGCAGGGAGGGCTTTCACCTTGCACGTGGCGGTCCCGGGTTCGATCCCTGGCACCCCAGATAGTCCCCCGAGCACCGCCAGGAGTAATTCCTGAGTGCAGAGCCAGGAATAATCCTTAAGAATTGCTGTTGTGGGGCTGGAGCAATAGCACAGCAGGTAGGGTGTTTGCCTTGCACGCGGCCGACCTGGGTTCGATTCCCAGCATCCCATATGGTCCCCCGAGCACTGCCAGAGTAATTTCTGAGTGGATGAGCCAGGAGTAACCCCTGTGCAACGCCCGGAGTGACCCTCCCAAACAACTGTTGGTGTGATCCCAAAACCAAAAAACAAAGCAAAAACAAAAACAACCCAAACAGGCATTTGCCTTATATGCAGCGAACCCAGGTTCGATCCCTGGCATCCCATAGAGTTCCCTGCGCACCACCAGGAGTAATTTCCTGAATGCAGAGTCAGGAATAATTGTGCATCTCTGTGTATGGCCCACAAACAAACAGAAATAGATAGCGAGACCTCATGCATCACAATTCAAGTGTAGCAGTAAGTTAAGGGGGTCACTGCTTCATTTAGGGGCCAGGAGAGAGGACAGAGACCTAAAGACCCAGGGGGAGGGGGGATGGCTGGAGGGCAGGGAGGGCACTTGCCTTGCATGCGGCAGACCCGGGTTCCATCCCTGGCACCCCAGAGGGTCCCCTGATTCCCCTAGGAGTGATTTCCTGAGTGCAGAGCCAGGAGTAACTCCTGACCTTAGCTGGATATGGCCCCTCTCGTCCAGACAAAAAGAATCAGAGGGCCAGATTTTTTGTTTTGTTTTGGGGCCATACTCGGCGATGCTCAGGATTATTTGTGGGTCTGCACTCAGGGATCACCCCTGGCGGGGCTCAGGGGACCCTAGGGGATATGGGCATTTGAAGCTGGGTCGGCCACATGCAAGGCAAGCACCCTCCCCGCTGTCCTACGGCTTCAGCAGCCCCTTTCAGAAGGTTGTTTCAACTTCCTATTGGGTGTTGCTCATGGTTTTGAATTTCACCCCTCCACCTCCTGCTTTATTCGTTGGGCATTTCAGGACCTGGTGGTCTTTGAGGACGTGGCCGTGACCTTCTCCCCGGAGGAGTGGGCCCTGCTGGATTCTTCCCAGAAGGAGCTCTATCGAGCAGTGATGCTGGACATCTGCGAGCACCTGGCGTCCATGGGTAAGAGCTGCCCCTGTTCTGTCTGACACACTGAGCAGTGCCAGGGCTGGCATTGAGCAGTAATCTTCTGGCACCCAGTACGCCAATAGTGGGTTTTTTTTTTGCGTTTTGGGTCACACCTGACAATGCATAGGGGTTCCTCCTGGCTCTGCACTCAGGAATTACTCCTGGCAGTGATCGGGGGAACATATAGGATGCTGGGAATCGAACCTGGGTCGACTGCATGCAAGGCAAACGCCCTACCCGTTGTACTCCAGCCCCTGCCAATAGTATTTGAGTGTGTTTTTTTCCTTTTTAGGTCACACCTGGTGATGCTCAGGGGTTACTCCTGGCTCTGCACTCAGGAATTACTCCTGGCGGTGCTTGGGGGACCATATGGGATGCTGGGGATTGAACCCCGGTCGGCCTCATGCAAGGCAAATGCCCTACCCTCTGTGCTATCACTCCAGCCCGTTTGTTCATTTTTCGTGTTTTGGGCTACACCTGGCCATGCTCAGGGCTTACTCCTGGCTCTGTGATCAGGGATCATTCCTGGTGGTGCTCAGGGGATCCTATGGAATCAAACCCAGGCTGGCCACGTTGTGCAAGGCAAATGCCCTTCCCAGTGTACTGTTTCTCTGGTCCCGATTATGCCACAGCATTTTATTTGTGTTTGGGTCACACCTCCAGCGATGTGTGGCTGACTTCTGGCTTTGAGCTCTGGGATCACTCCTGGCTGTGCTTTGGGGATCGTAGGGGGTGCCAGCAATAGAACTTGGGTCAGTTGCAATCAGAGCGCACACCCTACCTGTTGTACTCTTTCTTCAGCCCCCAGTGTTGGAATTTGGGGAGAAAATGCAATGATTTGTAAAGTACACATAGTCTTACTCATTCTGAGCCTTGAAAGCAACTTTGCAAGAAGCATTATACTTTTTGTTTGTTTTTATTTTTGGGCCGGCCACACCTGGTGATGCTCAGGGCTTACTCCTGGCTCTGCACTAAGGAATTACTCCTTGGCAGTCCTTGGGGGACCCTATGGGATGCCAGGGAAAAATCCAGGTTGGTTGTGTGCAGGGCAAATGCCCTCCCTGCTGTACTATCGCTCTGGCCTAACTTCTTGGTGGTTAGTTGGACCCATAGGCACATTCTTGTCCTGTTTTTATTTTTATTTTATTTAAAAAAATTTATGTTTTTGCTTTTTGGGTCACACCCGGCAATGCACAGGGGTTCTTCCTTGCTCTGCACTCAGGAACTACTCCTAGTAGATCAAACCCGGGTCGACCATGTGCAAGGCAAACACCCTACCCGCTGTACTATCCAACCCTTTTGTCCTATTTTTAAAAATTTCCTTTCTGCTTTCAGATGATGTTTATAGCTTTGCTGGTGGGACTGTTTCTCAGCAAGATATTTATGAGGACGAAAGTGCCAAGGAATATGAAACAGCAGAGTGGAACAGAGACAACTCCTGGGCTCCAGTTTTTGGAAAAACTTGTGGAAAAGATAACACTGAAGATTATCACACAACCCAGGCCTGGCATCCCAGGTGAGTTACATCACAAGAAAGTGGTATTCTGGGGCCAGGGTGATAGTGCAGTGGGGAGGGCACCTACCTGGCATGCAGCTGACACGAGTTCTATCCCCGGCATTCCATATGGTCCCCTGAGCACCATCAGGAGTGATCCCTGAGGGCAGAGTCAGAAGGAACCCCTGAGCATCTCTGGGCATGGCCCCCAAACAAACAAAAAGATAATAGAAGAGAGGCCAGAGCTATAGGAGAGCGGGGAGGGTGTTTGCCTTGCACGCAGCTGACCCGGGTTTGATCCCCAGCATCCTATATGGTCTCCTAAGCATTGTCAGGAGTAATTCCTTAGTGCAGAGCCAGGAATAACCTGAGCATCGCCGGGTGTGACCCAAAAAAAAAAAGCAAAAAAAGAAGAAAGAAAAGGAGAAAAGAAAGTGCTATTCCCTGAAAGAATGTTAGCATGTCACCATGCTTACAAAGCAGGCAATGCTATGGGGCAGGCTTAATGGGTGATTGGGAAAATTGGAGACAGTGATGGAGGGAAGATGTAATGGTGGTGGGTTTGGTGTTGAAATATTGAATACCTGTAACAAATCATCATGCACAACTTTGTAAACCAGTGTTTCTATAATAAAGTGTGAGGGGAAAACTGGAAAAAATAAATAAAAAAAAAAAGTGAAAAGATGAAAGCAAATGAAAAAATCCACGTAAGCCAAGAACAGATTTGTGCTTTCAGAGATTTTTTTTTACAGAATGGTTTCCTTGAAATGTGACCTAGTGTTGGAAACATAATTCAGTTGGAAATAGGAAGAAAGCCCCCATTTATGAAGTCCAGTCTTCATAATAGCTGTGATCAAAGTCCCTTTTGTGGCATTCATTTCATTCTATTTTTTTGTTTTGGGTCACATCCAGCGATACTCAGTGGTTCCTCCTGCCTCTGCACTCAGTAATCACCCTGGCGGTACTCTGGGGACCCTATGGGATGATGCTGGGGATCAAACCTGGGTCGCCTCTCTGGCCCCACACAAAAAAAGTCTTGTTAGTGAAACCACAGATAACCACACTCTTATTTTGAACAGAAATCACTGGGCGCAGAGCTTCCCTGAAGTGAAGGATCTGTGCGCCGAGCCGGGCCTCAGCCAGATTCTAGACTTTCACTCCTACCAGAAAACGCTCACTGGCCTCAAACACGATGGTGACTCCGGCGTGCACGGGACCGACTCCATGCATCCCCCGCTGCCCCCGACTGACGCCCCGGGCCGCCGGGTTCGCCGACTCCACCGGTGCCCGGAGTGTGGGCTGGGCTGCAGCTGCCCGTCGGTCCTGCGACGGCACCTGCGCATCCACCGGGGCGAGCGGCCCTACGCGTGCGTCACCTGCGGCCGCACCTTCCCGCACACGTCGTCCCTGAACCGGCACCGGAAGATCCACACGGCCGAGAAGCCCTTCGCCTGCCCGCAGTGCGGGAAAGGCTTCATCGACATGTCCAGCCTGAGCAGCCACGCGCGGACCCACACGGGCGAGAAGCCCTACGAGTGTCCGCAGTGCGGGAAGGCCTTCGGCTACTCGTCCACCTTCCGCCGCCACCGCATCATCCACACCGGGGAGAAGCCGTACCGGTGCCAGGAGTGCGGCGAGGCCTTCAGCTACTCGTCCACCTTCCGCCGCCACCGCGTCACCCACACCGGGGAGAAGCCGTACGCGTGCCAGGAGTGCGGCGAGGCCTTCAGCTTCCCCGCCGCCTTCCGCAGGCACCGCATGGCCCACACCGGCCGGACGCCGCACGCCTGCGAGCACTGCGGCAAGACCTTCATCTACCTGCAGTCGTTCCGCCGCCACCAGCGCATCCACACCGGGGAGAAGCCCTACGCCTGCGGCCACTGCGGCAAGACGTTCGTCCACCTGCAGTCGTTCCGCAGGCACGAGCGGACCCACGAGGACGACGACGACGGCGGGCAAAAGCCCTTCGAGTGCCACCGGTGCGGGACGGCGATCAGCCCGCCCGCGGCCTTTGTGGGCCCCGCCGCGGGGGCGTCCCCGGGGGAGCAGCCGCACGTGGCCGCCCCGTGTGGGCAGCCCCTCGGCTGGCCCCTCTCCCTGCGGAGGCACCTGCAGCCCCGCGCCGCCGGGGAGCAGCCCCCCGCGTGGGAGCTGTTGGGGGGCGCCTTCCGCCAGGACCCCGTGAGGCCGCAGCCCGGGGAGCAGCCTTACGAGTGCCCGCTCTGCGGGCCGGGCTGCCGCGGCCACGGGGCCTTGCAGAAGCACCTGAGGGGGCCCGCGGTGGACAGGCCCCAGGCGTGTCATCAGTGCGGCCAGGCGTTCCTCTGGCCCGAGCTGCTGCCACAGCGCGCGAGGGCGCCCGCAGCTGCCGCCGCCGCCGCCACCACCGCCGCCGAGAAGCCCTCCGAGTGCCAGGAGTGCGGCAAGGTCTTCAAGTGGCCATCCTCGCTCCCTGTCCACATGCGCCTGCACACCGGAGAGAGGCCCTACCCCTGTGGGCAGTGCGACAAAGCCTTCAGCTGCTCCTCGTCCCTCCGGAGACACGCAAAAACACACGCGCCAGAACCACACGCCGGGGGCAGGAGCTGTGAGAGCACAGCCGGGAGAGCGCCGGCCTGGCACGTGGCCGACCCCGGTTCGATCCCCGGCATCTCTTTGGGTCCCCCAAGCACCGCCAGGAGTAATTCCTGGGCGCAGAGTCCTAAGGAGTCAGCCCTAAGCATTGCCACGAGTGGCCTCCCCCAAATAAAACAAAACAAAAAAGCAGAAATGGAATGACAGCACCAGGGAGCTTGCCCTGCTTAGAGGCACGGGATATCTGTGCCCGGGAGGGAAGCTCCTCAGAGCTGTAGATCTGGCCTTGACTTTCTGAGTCCCCCAGCAGCGAAGGCCACCTACAGAGGAGGCCTTGGCAGTTCTTTGGCAAATAGAATTTTCGGGGCCACACAGCTCTCTGAGCACTTGTAGCTGTAGAACACACATTTCGCAATTGTATGTAGATTTTTTTTTTTCTCTCAGACCTTAGGCAATAAAAGTTTCATTTCCAGATTGTTGGGTGACTGGACATGTTTAAAAAAAAATTTTTTTTTTAAAACTTAAGACATTTTCTTGGAACCAGAGAGATAGTTCAGTGGGTGGAGCATTTGCCTTGTAAGCGACTGACCTGGGTTCAATCTCCAGCATCCTGTCAGGTCTGTATGTTGTACCCCAACTCTGTCCTTGCCCCAGAGCTTGCCAGGAGTGATTTTTTTTTTTTTTTGCTTTTTGGGTCACACCCAGTGATGCACAGGGGTTCCTCCTGGCTCATGCACTCAGGAATTACTCCTTGCAGTGCTTGGGGGACCCTATGGGATCCTGGGAATCAAACCCGGGTCGGCTGTGTGCAAGGCAAACGCCCTGCCTGTTGTGCTATCGCTCTAAGCCTCAGAAATGATTCTTGAGCACAAAGCCAGGACTAACCCCTGAGCATCATGGGTATGGCCCAGTGACCTAAAAAACAATTTTTTTTCTTGTTAGTTTGAAAACTTTTGGGGCTTGGGGGCCATATCGAGCAGTGTTTTGGTTGGCCAAAGGCAAGACTCTTGGCTCTATGCTGAGGGGTCACTTCTGGCAGGGCTTGGGGGACAATAAGCAATACTGGGGATCAGTCTGGGTATAAATGCAGGCAAGGCAGGAGGCTTAACCCTTGTACTATTTCTCTGGCTTTTAATTTCTTTTCCTTTTATTTTGGGCACTCCCAGCGGTGCTCAGGGCTGACTCCTGGCTCTGAACTCAAAGATCACTCCTGGCAGGCTCAGGGGACCCAATGGGATGCTGGGGATCAAATCCAGGTTGACTGCATGCAGGGCAAGTGCCCTCCCTGCTGGACTATCGCTCTGGCCCCTGAGAGAACATTTCATGGGGCTGGAGCAATAGTCCAGCAGGGAGAGCAGTTGCCTTGCACACAGCCAATCTGGGTTCGATCCCTTTGTCCTGTAGGGTCCCCTGAGCACTGCCAGGAGTAATCCCTGAGTGCAGAACCAAGAGTAAGCCCTGAGCATCACTGGGTGTGGTCCAACAACCAGAATCAAAACAAAACAAAAATAAAGCGCACTTCAAGTCAGTTAGAGCTTTAAGTCATTCTGGCTTTCCGTTTCCATAGACCTATCCAACAGCTGCTGGCTATAAACAGGATGGTCCCTGGAGCTCTAACTTCCTGGGCCACAAGGCCCTTTGGGGCCCCTCCCCAGGGCTCTTGAGTCACTCACCCAAACATGTCCATCCTATGCCCCCTTCCCTTCTCCCCTTAGGTGTCATGTCCCCCTGCGTTTGTGTCTGGTGGGGCTCTTGATAGGAAGAACTGTCCCCCACTTGCCACCTCTCATCAAGTACTGAAGAATAAAGCTCCCTTGTGCTATCTTTGTTGCTTTTTTGCTGACCACCTCGCCCTCTGCTGTGCTCAGGGGTTACTCCTGACTCTGCTCAGGGATCATTCCTGGTGGGGCTCAAGGGACCAGATGGGGTACTGGGATCAAACCTGGGCCAGGCACATGCAAAGCAAGTGCCCTCCCCACTATCCTCTCTCCTATCCCTCTGACCCCAGTTTTGATTTTTTGTTCTGTTTTGAGCCAGACTTGGCAGTGCTCGGGGATTACTCCTGACTCTGCGCTCAAGGACTACTCCTGGCGGTGCTCAGGGGACCATATGGGTTGCTGGGGAAACCCAAATCCAGAAGATTTGTGTGCCATCAAGTTAGACACAATTATCTAGAATTCTGGTCTCTTCTAAATGTGTGATTAAGATGAGATTTTTAAATAACTCATCTAACAAAAAAGGATTTCGATGTTTCTGAATACTCTGCCTTTAATGATAAAATTATTTGATCCTAAATAAGGAGTCAGATAAGAATAAATTACAATTGAAAGGCATGAACTCAAAGGATGTTCTCTAACAAGAGAATGGGCATGGGGCTGGAGAGACAGGACAGTGAGGAGGGTGTTTTCCTTGCACGCGGTGGACCCGGGTTTGATCCCTGGCATCCCCTAGGATCTCCCAAGCTCTTCCAGGAGTAATTCCTGAATGCAAAGTCAAGAGTAACTCCTGAGCATCAGTGGGTGTGGCTCCCCCAAATAAATACCCTCCAAACCCCAAATAAGCCCAAAGCAGGTTTATTGGGGGTGCTTCTGGTAAGGTTCAAGGGTCTCTAAAGAGGCCAGTGAAGTTGTGTCCGATGTGGGACTGTACGGGCATCTCTGTTTATAAATTTTTTATTAACATTTTTTTAATTTTAAAATTTTATAAAGTAGGTCACAATATTTGATTACATTTAATATTCAAATACCACCTAATTTTTTTTTAGTCGAAGGAAGGAATTTATCTTTTTTTGGGGGGGGGCACACCCGACAATGCTTAAGGGTTACTCCTCTGCACTCAGAAATCATTCCAGGGGACTGGAGCAATAGTACAGTGGGTAGGGCATTTGCCTTGCATGCGGCTGACCCGGGTTCCATTCCCAGCATCCCATATGGTCCCCTGAGCACTGCCAGACTAATTCCTGAGTGCAAAGCCAGGAATAACCCCTGAGCAGTGCCAGGTGTGATAAAAAAAAAGCATTTTACCATTCCAGGTGGTACTCAGGGGGCCTGACAGGATGCTAGGGATGGGACCCAGGTTGGAGGCCTGCAAGGAAAGCTCCCAACCCACTGTACTGTCTCTCCAGCCTGCAAGGGGCATCTTAGAGGACGACTTGCTGTGGGGGAAGGGGTGGAATGGGATGTGGGAGTAGTTTGAGCAACTCAGTCTATTCTTGGTAGCAGGTTCTGTCACTGCCAGATAGGGATTGGCTGGCGCCAGGGCCTGCTGTTGCCAGCTTGGAGCTTCTGTGCAAGTGCCAGAAATTCCAATGGGTTGAAATCATCGCTGGTGGCTTCAGGAGCCCCGTCTGCAGGTACTCACTAGTGGTTTCAAGGTCCCTTTTGACCCTGAGTCCCCAGAGCCCACCCAACAGGGCTATTGCTTAGAAAGATGTGTGAGAAAAAGAGGGGAAATGTAGTTCAATCCCAACACAGGCTGGGGCCGCAGAGAAGGGACAGGAGGGAGGGCACTTGGCCTTGCATGCTGCCGACCCCGGTTCCATTCCTAGCATCCTGAGCCCAGCAGGAGTGAACCCTGAAAACTCGAGCACTGCTGGGTATGAACTCAAAACAAAATAAAACAAAACAAAAAAACAAAACAAAACAAAACAAAGAGAGGGCCCGGAGCGATAGTACAGCAGGTAGGGTGATTCTCCCGGCAGACTCAAGTTTGCTCCTCAGCATCCCATAAGATCCCTTGAGCACCACCAGGAGTAATTTCTGAGTGCAGAGACAGGAGTAATCCCTGAGCTTTTGCTGGGTGTGGCCAAAAGAGAGAAAAAGAGAGAGATAGACAGAGAGAGAGAGAGAGAGAAGAGAAAAAGAGGAGAAAGAGGGAGGGAGGGAGAAAGCAAGAAAGAGAAAGGGAGAGAGAGAAAGAGAGAAAAAGAATAAGCACAAAGCAGAGACAAACAAGTGAGATAAATGTTTAAGGCTTGAAGAACAAGACTAGAGCAACTGATAAATTTTAAAAAGAGGTCAGAGTACTGCCAGGAGTGATTTCTGCAGACTCAGGCTCCTCCTGGGAAGGAAGGGAGGCGTACTGGAGTCGAGTCTGGGGGGGCTGGTCTCTGCAGCCCCAGCTCCCCGCTCCCTGGCTCCCCCACCCCAAATGTGAGCTCCCAGCTTCGCCTGCTGCACAATGACAAGTTACTCCTCCTTTCCCTTGACCACCTCTGCCTTCCGGATGGGAGTTGAGAACCACATCCAAAATGCAGGACTTGCACCAGCACGGCCCTTTCCAGCTGCGGAGAAGCTGCCCCTCAGTCCAGTCCTGCCACAGGGTCCTCGCAGGCACGCAAGTGACAGGGACCTGCACAAAAGGGGGCTGACAGGGGGAGGAGTCAGAACCCAGCCCCATCCTCTGCCCGTCCTCTTACTGATTGGGCGGTGTGGTGAGAACTGCACCTTGATTGGACAGTGAGGAATCCCGCCTTCACCTGATTGGACAGGGTTGCTGGTCCCTGCACCCTATTGCACGTGTTTCTCCAAGTTCCTAATTGCAGCAAGCCACCGAGCACAGCCCTGTGCCAGAACGGATCAGAACCCCGAAATGGACTCATCAGGTCGCTAGGAGTCCTTTTTATGTGGCCAGAAATGGACTAGAGGCCCAGGACACCACCTAGGAAGGGTCAGGGCAGAGTCACAGTGGATGTGTGATCTGTATGGTCTAAATTCTTGGGGCCACCTGGCCTCGTAGCTGGGTTGTCAGTACAGAGGGCTCCACCCTCTGGAAGGACGTGTCCTTTGATGTGAGGCCACGACAATGGTGGGCAGCCACAGGAAGTGCCCTTGAAAGCTCTCTTCTCCAAGTGAACGTTTGTAGGAGAATGTCAAATTCTGGCAGTGAAGGCACTGGTCACCAAGGGAATGAACGGGCTAGAATCCCAGACGGCTTGGAAATGTTTTCTGCATCAATGATCAGAAAGGATTCAGTTATTGTGCGGGAATGATTCGGCTTTTGTGTTGAAAGTTCCTAACAGCGATTTGGAACACTGGATTAACTTTCAGAATATTGGCCTAAGCCTAGACATGAGATGAGATCGATGGCACTCCCTACCCCTGGTGGTCCTCCGAGTTTAAACATGCCTTTGACAACCAAGCGCAGGCCAAGCCTCCACCGCTATGGAAATTAGCAACCCTGAGGAGAATGGATGGACCATGTCC